ACAGAATATCAACAAAAGATCGGACAACCATCACACGAAGAATGTCTCACTCTGCTGAAAGAGGCCACTCATGAAAAGGGGGCAAATTATAACAAGTAACACCCATACACATACAAACACACACACAGATGGAGATGTGGCCGGGCTTTGGGCCAGATACTCAGAGAGAAGGAAACTCACATTCTTGTGATAGAGAGTCATCAAGTATCAGGTTCCATAGACTCTGGCAGGAGCTGGAGCCCCTCACCACTTCACCACACACATGCACAGTGCAAACACATGGGCATGCAGCTCATTCTTTTATTCATTTTCTGCTAAAACATACACTGAAGTGCTGCCTCATCGAATATTCTCAGTCCTGCTCTTGCAAAAGTTAAAAGGTGTCTGTTAGTATCCCAGTCAGATTTGCATTTTGTCTGAAACAAATAGGCCTAAAAAAAGTTTGCTACAGACGAATGGTGCTGAAACAAAATGGTACGTTGGATTTAGAGGGGGGTTAACATAGAAAATGGTGAAGAGACAGAATTAATAAGTGTTTTCACCTCTTTCCACCAGATGTCAGCATGTGGCAACTCTTCCTCCCCTGACTTTGACTAGCATCTCAAATGCAGGGTGTAAATGTTATGTAACCTGTAGTGTTTTGCATGGTTTCGAATGTCTTCACTGTGAGTTTAGTGATTCCGTAACAGCTGCAAGACACCTTTAAAGAAATACTTCCCAATTTATCATCCCAGTCTGTCGGTATGCTGAGTTGTCCATCAGGTACAGCCTGTACCTGAACAGGCTCCAGATGGATAGCGTGATAGATCGCTTCTTACCTAATAGTTTGAACACTTGAATGAACACAGCTCCAAGGTTTAAGAAGCGTTGAAGACAAAGCAAACATAATTAGTTTGAGTTTTTTGCTGTCATGTTTGATAGCTGTATCTTTTTTTAGTTCTAATTATCTCTATGAAAGGTGTCTAAACTGCTTAATTTAATTTAAAATTACATAATTTTTTATATACCAATTTTTTATAATTAAAAAAGCTGTTAAAAAGAAGTGATTTCTGGGGTAAACTACTCAGTCATATTCTGATTGGAATTATTTTTCTCATTCTTTGAGTGGACAGAAAAATAAACACAAAATCGCATTTGACCATTTTTCTGTGGTGTTTAATATCTGTTCTGAGAGTGCATGCAGATTATTGCCATTAATGTGGCCATTATTGCCACATTAAAACATCGTATTAGAGGTGCACCAAACTAATTACTGGATTTTATGGTAAAAACTCACTTCTTTTTATCATTATAGATTTAATTTTTACATGGATATTTGATTAATAGCCTGCAGGCGCACAATGATTCCTGAGGTCAATTTTATCATTTTGTGTTAGTCTTGTTAAAAAAAATCTCTTCTCATTTAGACATAAAATGTACATTACCTGCGTCTAAATACAGATCCAGGTCGAAAGCGTTTTTGGAGATTTTCCCCTGTGAATTGTTTCGACATGCAGAGTTTTTTTACTTTCACATTGTACTGTTCCAGTATCTGTGCATGACTATGGAAGATATTTAATATCATTCATATCAGGCAATGTTCATCCTGACTAAGGTCAGCGTGTTCTCCGGTAATGTCAACAACAGAGAACAACGACAGAGGTATAAAAGATGTTATTGTCATTATTAGAATTTATTCAGTATGAATACCCGGAAACTTAACAACTTGGCACAGCTCCTGGACTCACTACAGGGACCGGCATTCTGCAGGAGGAACGCTCTGTGGAGAGAGCCAAAAAGGTGAGACTGAGTTTTCATACTGTCAAGGTGGTTGTAGCAAAAATGACCCATGTAAAGCTTCAAAGCAGCTTTACAAATCTGATAAAAGTACAAAACTAAACAACTAGTAAATGGGTTACAAAATTATAATGAAACCACAATCAAATGGAATAATTGTACACTAAAGGAGAGAAAAATGACTTGATGTTTATCTCAAGTCAAAAAAGAGAGAGGAGGTGAGTCCTGTTTTGTTAGAAATAAGTTTTTATGCTTTAGCGTCTCTCTTGAGGATATCAGTGTTTAGACTTGTCGTCCCTTTCCATCTCAGGGAGGATGGGTCACCCTTTAATGGTGAGGGACATGGAGTCCAGCCACCTGCTTAATGTCCAAGACAGGAATGTTTCACCACTGCTGCTGAGCTCACACCGACAACCGCTCAACAGCATTTCAGGAAATAAATGATGGTCCTCAGGACTGTTGGCTTTCAAACACTCAATAATTTTAACGCCTTTTCCAGAAGTGATGGAAAATCTGGAGGATTAAATTGATAGGTGGGCGTACTCAACACTGATCAATGCTGGAACATCTGCCATACCCCATCTGCTCACCGTGGTCCTCTTCAGGTTCCTGGATGACTAATGCTTTGGTTTCCAAATGAAACACTGAGCAGCGACATGCCTGAAGGAAATGTCTTCTATTCAATGTCCTCTGATCAAGTGCAACATTCAAGCAAATGGATTGTGTTTGTATCTCATTGACTCTGCTGATTGCAGTTTCATTTAGATAGTGGCGTAAAAACTTAGACTTAAAGAATAATATCCATTTCAAGCCTGCAATGTATTTTCTTTTTAGAATACATTTTTCTAGAATCAATCAAATGAAAGCAGTAAAACTCCAAATGAATCCAAGTTTCCAAGATAAAGGAGCCATCAAATTAGGTAGAAAGTTGTCCTCAATCTAACCCCCCTCCCCTTCTTAATCATGCACTAAGCAAATGTGAAAGGAAACTTCTAACAAAAAGAGCTCCAGCAGGACCAGAGCCGTCTGCCTCTGGGTTAAGAGGAGAGCAAAAAGTGGAAGATGAGCACCATGACACCAGTGAGACCTTCTGAGAAAGAGAAACACAAGCATGTAACAGCAATAATTTCATGTGTCCATGAATAGTAAAGAGAGCAGATAGAGGAGAGGTGCATCATGGGAAGCCAACAAGAAGTCAGAAAATAGATTAAACATTTCTGGGACACCCAAGCTAATCCCCTAACTGAAAGCTTTATCATAAAGAATGGTCTTGGGTCTAATCTTAAACGCATGAGATAAAGAAAAGTGGTGTTGTGTCAGGCAGGAGACCAAAGTTATGAATTTTACTATCTCATCACCCAGGAATGCCAGGGCAGTTTTAGGCTCAGAAATGCATATGATTTTGTGTACTTCCACATATATCAGTAGCTTGTTCCAAATTGAATAGATTTAGCTTCTTTAAATGGTACTGGGAATATTTCAGACATGTGGGGAACTCTTATAAGATTATATAATAAAAGTGCACGACATCTTTACAGCATGAAGGCAACAGCAGAGCAGAGAAATCACAGGACAGAATTCCGTTCTAACCCCAACCAGGGGCCTGTTTATGGATTGGTTCTCTTCGGGTTTCTCCCACTATAACCCCCCCCCCCCATTGTGGGTCAATTGGAGCTTCTAAATCATCTGCAGCATAAAATATCAGTGAGGATGGTTGTTCGTCTCTGTGTGCATCCCTGTGATGGACTAGCAACCTGTCCAGGTTGTGCCCTGCCTCTTGTCCAATGACAGCTGGGATAGGCTCCGGCCCTACTGGAACTGAGTGGGTACAAGAAATGGACAGATGGCTATTCAATTTTAATTGCTTAAAAGCAATAATTACCTCTGAGCAATTTGTGTGTGTGTGTGTGTGTGTGTGTATGTGTGTGTGTGTGTATATGCACTTTACGTTCCATTACACAATACAGTATGCAACACAATCAAGAAATCTCTTTCTTCCTCAACAGACTAAATGCCTATCTGCACCCATTCAGGGTGAGATTTCTTTGAGATAAATAAATCTGTTATTTTAAGTCAGAATAGTTGATATCAGGAATTTAAAAGACCACATCACAACCAAATATTCTTAAACATTATTAGCCTCCCTGTGAGGCTCTGATGAAATAATGAGGTTTTCAGGACCACTCTGGGACCACTGATGTGCCTCCGTCAAGCGTGATGAATTTAATTCAGCCTAGAAAATCTTGTATGGATCTCTTAGCCCGAGTATTTACCCACATCTTTTAATGATAAAGAATTATACTAAATTTAAAAAAGGTACCGAGTTGATCTGGAAAGGCATGGCTTTTCTGTGAAGGATGAGCATGAGAAACAAGGAGGTGTGTGTGAGGGAGAGGTGGAGTTTTCTCGCTGTTATAAAAGTCTTGCCTAAACGCACCTGTGCTGGAGCTTGACAGGAGCTGGCAGCCTTCGCAGCCCGCACCTCTTCTGGGACATATGAGGGGATCACACAGCTCAAAGGTAGGGGCACTTTTGTGTTAAAGTCTCTGAACGTGGGCAGGGCGGCAAAACAGGATGAAGCCAGAGATCATGTGTTTGATCAATACAAGTTGATATGTGACAAAGATTCTAGGAATACTGTTTGCTTTTTAATGTTTTATGTAAGAGCATTGATTTACAAAGTGGGATTTATCAAAAAACAAACACTTTCTACAAATCCTTAAAAAAAGACACTTAATCTAGTTATTTATTGTAGTTAATCACTGTTTTTTTTACAATCAGGCTAAACATTTTCATTTTTGTGGCATTTTCAAATTGATTAAAAGATATATATAAAATATTGTGTAAAAAAAGCATGCTAAATGTTGCACCTGTTCATTTTTGCTAAATTGTCTGTTTGACAGGACATGCAATTATTTATTCGTCAACAATTATATTAAGCAGTAGAATAGTCTGGATATTGTTGGGGATAAATTCAACAGTGTATTTGTGTAATTATTCAATAAAGTTCCTGATTATAATGCAACACTTTAATAAATTGAAATAAGTTTTGAAGATCTGAAAATGGAAATACGTCCTGTTTTTTGCATTATGTGAAAGATTTTTTAAAAACAAAAACGAATGCTATTCCAATAAAAGAAACAGCTTTCATGTCTTCCCCTTTTATATAATTTGATTAAAAGCCTGCTAGAGAGAGCATCAATGTGAATCAGGTGTGTTGGAGCAGGGACAATTCTAAAACATTCAAGACTGCAACCGTCCAGGACACCGTCTGACATACCTATGACATTCACAATCATGGGCATGTTGATGAGTGACAATTTTTCTTATCTGTTCTCAGGATATTCCAAAGAATATCAACAATTCCACATCCACTGCTCTTTCCACCAGTTCAGTTGCCCCCATCCTATCTGTAAGTATACACTCACCCAAACTGACTGTAGAGATACTCAATTTACTGTGATTCAATTAATGCATTAAAATCCAAAAATGGTTTTAGGAACTCCAGCTCCTCATGGCTCACCCGGACCACGCCCCTGAGAATGACCCGTCTGGTCTGGACACGAAGGATGGTCAAGGGCAGCCTGCAGGGCCTTCAGCCCTGAGGAGAGCCAGGTCCAGCTTCCTCAAGGGGGTGTCCTACTTCTCTGGCGATATGGCGGTGTTTGCAAAATGGATGGAAAGTAAGTCTGCATTAATGCCAGAGACTTCGTCTAATATTTGTAGACAAGCTCAATAAGTAACTAAAATAACACAGGAATGCTGCGGTACAACATGCAACATGTGCAACTGACCAGCATTAAAAACTGCCCCCTAAAGGTAGCCTGGACCACCGGGAGTTTAATGGCCTGGAACTATGCATTTTTTTTTCCATTTGAAGGGGTTTTGGGTCACAACGAACATATCTAACGGGAAGGTGACTGTAATTGTGATATTACCCATGAACAACCTGTGTCGTGTCTGGGTCTCGATGTGTCTTTTGGCATTCTTTTGGCTCACCCTGCCAATCGCCTTTTTTCCAGAGCAGTTCTTCCTGCTGCAGCTGCTGGACTGGGTTTTGCGTGGAGCGGCCCAGGTGATGTTCGTCAACAACCCCCTGAGCGGCCTCATCATTTTTGCTGGACTCATCCTCCAGAACTACTGGTGGGCCCTGAATGGTTTCGTGGGGACCCTCTTTGCAACCATTTCTGCTCTCATTCTGCAGCAAAACAGGTGTGAGCACACGCCATGCCGGGACTGATGTATGGCACAAATTATCACTTAATGATCGCAGTTTCTTACCAAATTACCAATGAACTACCTAACTAATGATACATTCATTTATAAATTCAAATGGTTTTGTTTCAGGGGTGCGATAGCGGCTGGGCTGTACGGTTACAACGGCATCCTGGTGGGACTGCTGATGGCTGTGTTTTCCAATGCAGGAAACTGGTACTGGTGGCTCCTGCTGCCCAACATCTTCATGTCCATGATGTGGTGAGCACACAGTCTTCATAACTGTTAAAAATACAGTGAGGTCATGTCATAAAAGGTAACTGATGACCAGAGAAACATGACAGTTTCAGAAATCAGAATACTTAAATGTTAAATCTTTGGAAGAGGAAGTAAATTACAGTTTAAAATTACTTTAAAAGACTTTAAAATGTATAAAGAAATGTGTGTCTGTATATGAATGTGGAAGAGGAAAGTATTTTTAAAAGAGAAACAGCAGAAAAACTGTGAATGTGAAGGGGAGAGCAGAAACAGGACAAATGTTTAGATAGTTATGATACATGTGTACTGTGAATAAAACACATGATGATGAACTGGGTCATTGCGTTTCAGCCCCATTGTGTCCAGTGCCCTGGCGTCCATCAACAGTCGTTGGGATCTGCCTGTGTTCACCTTGCCTTTCAACATCTTGGTGTGTCTCCACATGGTTGCCACCGGACACTACAATCACCACTTCCCCCAGGTCCTCATTCAGCCCCGCTCGGAGCTCCCTAACATCACCTGGGCTGAAATCGATGTAGCTAAGGTCAGTGACAAGCCAGGCTTTCAGGGACTGGAACAAAGAAAGTTCAGAGTAGCGATGTCATGCAACTCTAATTACAGTAATAGTATAGCAGCACAGCCGAAAGATTACATCTTCGAGTTGACTCCGGTGGGGAAAATGGCAGCCATCATCACTTCCATCTGCAGTGGTGGTCATGTTGACCTCTCTGTGTGGTTTTCAGCTGTTTATGTCGGTGCCTGTGGGGATCGGGCAGGTTTACGGCTGTGATAACCCTTGGACTGGAGGAATCTTTATCATCTCACTGTTCATCTCCTCCCCTATCACCTGTGCCCATGCTGTCCTGGGGTCTGCAGTGGGCATGGTCTCAGGTGAGAACACTACTGAATGACTCTTCTTCTCATAATGCAGTACTTCACTGATGGAAACAAACTGAAATAGAACCTAGTCCTGTTTTGTATTCATCGATCTAACATTTGTAAATGTCTACTTTGATCCCCTTTTGAAGGTCTGGCCCTGTCAGCTCCATTTGGAGATATCTATTTTGGCCTTTGGGGATACAACTGCGTATTAGCTTGCATTGCTATTGGAGGGATGTTTTATGCACTCACCTGGCAGGTGCACCTGCTGGCCATTACATGTGGTAAGTCCAGAGTATTTTATAAATCCAGAGTATCCGTAAATGCACCTTACATGCACCTGAAGTTTGTCATTTTCTGCAGATTTCAGAAACACAGAATAGTTGTTTTTATCATGTAATAAGCAATTCATGCTTATTAGTGGGATTCTTTCAGTTAAAAGGAAACTTTTCAAACACTTTTTAAAAACTGATGCCTTTATTAATACTATTTTTTTTACTGAGTTGCACTTAGTTGGGATTTAATATATTTGTCTACTACACTGTAAGAATGACTTGGATTTTAATTGGCTGAAATTGGACTGTGTCTTTAAACATACCTAAACAAAACAGAATTGTATGATGTAATTACATTTACTCTCCTCTCTTGCAGCTTTTTTCTGTGCATACCTTGGCTCAGCTATAGCGAACATCATGTCCACGGTAATATAACGGACCTTCATCTTTATCTTATAATCCCTGTCCACACACTACACTGACCTTTTTCAGACACATGTTATAATTTTGTTTTTATTTTGCAGTTTGGTCTGCCAGCCTGCACGTGGCCGTTCTGCCTCTCAGCTCTCACCTTTCTCCTCTTAACCACGGGGACCAAAAGAATATTCAAGCTGCCGCTGGCCAAAGTCGCCTACCCTGAGAAAAACCTGACCTCCTACTGGAAACTAAAGAAACAGGAGAAAGCAGAGAAGGCTGAGAAAGAGAGAAAAGAGAGAGAAGAACAACAGAAAGCTGTTGAGGAAGAAATCTTCATAAATAAGACAGAACAACTGAGGCTGGAGGAGGGGAAAGCAGGAAGCGAGACAGCAGAAGACAAAAATGGGAACATACTTTTTGAGAGAACAGCTGAGATGGAAGAGTGCATTATTAAAGATGAAAAAATGAGAGATGACATTCTAACCGAAGTAGTACTTCATGATAATGCTTGACACCACATTCCCTCAAAGAGAGAAGATAAACCTTACATGATTCTGAATTGTGCGGCTCTTTAAAAAAAGAAAAAAAGATCTACAGAAACTATATTGTGATGTGGATATTGATATGGGTACATCCTCCTTTGACCAGATAATATATATTTTTGATGACATTTTGTTTAGTTCCTTTTGCGTTTTTTCTGTGAAAACTTTTATAATAAAATTTATATTTTTATAATTTATAATTCTGTCCTATTTTCATTGTGCTTATACTAAAATATGTATTAAGAATTACATTAAAACAACTTAACTATCATATCATTATAAAAGATTTGCACACTTTTTCAAAAATGACAGCAACAGTATAACTAAACCAGTCCAAATGGTTTGTTTTTCTACATTAACATGACGCCTCAGCGTGACCATAAACTGGGGAACAGGTTCTACTCTGGCTGAAAGTGCAGAAGACTTTATTAGTCCTTGCTCTGGCTCTGCTGTTCCAGTTGCATAATGTGCTTGAAACATTCCTGACTTAAATGACGCATACAGGCCCTATTTTGGGATTGCTGCATAGTTCATTTAGATGATCTTATCTACAATCATCATTTTTCTTTCATTTTAAGAAGCAAATGTTACACTTCTAGGTAAAGAAATTTGAATTTGTTGTAGACACGCTCAGTAACTTGGATTGGCAGTAAAGACTAAATGAAAACCTTCTATTAATCATTACCTGTTAGAACTTAATATTTGGTTAATATTTCCCTCATTTGTTGGCTTTGGTTTGGTTGGCACTATATTATTTCAAATTGCATCTCAAAGGACAATGGGAAATATAAAAAAAAAGATAAAGCAAATCAACATGTAGTAATGAAAGTATATAAGATATTTACAAATTAATACTAAGTCATTAAGTGAGAGTTCATAAATCCTTGTTGGTAAGTGTCAGACTTGTAATGTTCACACTGAAATACAGTATTACAGTCATTTCTTTACTGTTACTTTACTTATTTTTTGTCGTGTTTCTGTGATAATATCAAGCAAGGACATGCGTACTTTTGTCCGGTGAACTTCTGTAACCTGACATTTATGTAAGCTTGCACTGCTTCCTTCCTCGAGCCACAACTGCGAGACCGAGAATAAAGATACGTTTTAGACAAGATTACATAATGATGGCAAATGATACCAGAAGCTTTCAACAATGTGAAAGGGGAATTGCAAAACTGCAGTCCTACAAACAGTTATCCACCAGCATCTCTAAGGAGCTTCAGTCCGAGCTGCTAAGTTATGCTTACACCCATGCAGGGCCGGGTATTTCCTGATGTGTCCACAGATGATTGGGCTTTAGAGTTAGAAACCTGTCAAAGAACTATCATTTTGAAGGACATTATTTTGTGTTCTCTTGTGGCTGGCAATTGTAGAAAAAAAAGAAAGGAAACTTTGATTAGCAGATAGGACACCCCTAATTTGTGAAAGCAGGACTTGTTAGAGAGACACTGTGGTTATGTGGTTGTATATCAGCTGATAAGTGGAAGAGTCCCTATTCAGAATTTCCAGAGCTTCTTGTGTCAATTTTCTCAAAGAATACCCCAGAAGTGTCAGAGGTTATCAGGTGACTGGGTAAATTGGTGATGACAAACTGTCAGTAAGTTTAAGAGTGCACGGTTGTCTGTCTCTCTGTGTTGACCCACAGATGAAAAGGTGGCCTGGAAATGACTGATGTATATTGAATTAATATAATTTAATAAAAAAATTATATGATAACTCTAATGTATAACATCTCCCTTAAGATTAGGACTATGAGTCTTCGAGACCTAGCCTACTAAGACACAGCCTATTATTGAAATCTGAAACAGCTTCATAAACTGCTAGAAAAGAAGCTTGCCAAAAATGGAAATTTACACGTATTATTTCAATGCAAGTCAACTTAGTATGAGGATAAAAATGGAGAATGTGAAACAGACATCTATACCATTAAAAATAACCAGCTTTCTATCTGCATTTCTTAAGTTCTAAATCAAGACACAGTGTACTTTAAAGGGTACATTATTACTGACAGGCTGACATCAGATGTTCGTTTACATCACAGTCACAATGCTGCACAATCTAGATCCTTTCAGATCTGCTTCATGCCCCTACTTCGATAAAATCTCCACCCCGTGAAAAAGAACATTCTCGAAAGCCCTGAGATGCTCTGCCACTTCTCATCATGCACACAGCAGCTAGTTCGGACTCTTCTGGTTTAAACAGCATAACTACATAGTAAGACTCCAAAGCCAGCCCCCTGATGGCTGCATGTCCTGCAGATTTGAGAAGTTTCCCGGCTTCAACACACCTGAGAAAATAAGAGGCAGTGAGAGTAAGGAGGTGAAGAGTGAAAGAAGAGGTTGGTCTGTACTCTGTAGGTTCCTGAAACGAGCACAAAGTGTGCAGGTCTATCAAACGTGTATCTAAACACTTTGATATTCAGATCAAGCTCACACTGCCTACGTTTAAGATACTCTGTTTCAGATCAGTGCCATCTGTTGTCATCCATCGCATCGATCTGATGGGGGAAGTCGCTCAGCCATGTGACTGTGACACTGTCAAACGTGATAGTGTCAGCCTGACCTTTCACGGGGCTGCTGATCAACTGGTTGTTCCAAAAGCGCATGAACACAGAAAGCCGATGAACAGATTGCTTATGTTACAAGCGGCAGGATAACAGGAGAAAGGCTTCTCTGTTATGATGGGGTAGGTCGAACAGAACAAAAACTTAACTAAAAAAGATATTGTTCTAAGCACAAATAATAGAATGGGTGGCTGATTTATGATCGAAATGTCTGTATTCTCTCTAAAACTAAAATGCTGATCTGATCTTTTTAAGATAACCCTCGCTGCATAACATGCACATCACCTGTGGAATTTTGTCCCCTACAGAAAAAGGCTTTGGGCCATTGTAGTCCTTCTTACCGTATCTATGCCGTCACCAGTTTCTCTTAATGTGCAGAAATCCCTACAAAACCCAGATAACTGAAGGTGCTTTGGAAACGCAGATAGTGTTTGCAGGTGACTAAGCCACTGTCTGATCTGACAAGCTTTCTTGCCTCCTGATGAAAAACGTCAGAACTGAGGAAACATGACTGTGCAGAGTATATGCCAGAACGGAGGAGTGCTTAACAGCATGTGTTTAGTTCTCAGACCTTTTGTCTTTGAAAAACTGCTCTACGCTAAAATGATTAAAAAAGCATGTATCAAATTTAGTTAATGCATTTTTATTGTCCTCCAAAACACATTTAAGTATGTACAAAGACAAAGCAAAAAATCGCTGAGCTCAGTGTTTTCACAATAAAGAATATAAAAAGAATCAGACAACATCCCCCAATCCTTCACCACTGCCCTGCTAACATCTGGGTGCTCAGGACACCAGTGACTGGGCCTTTAACAGAGAAATATGATCTCTTTAGTGTCTGAACTTGGCTTGTGACGACTGATCAGCTCCTGTTTGTCATATCCAAAGGTCTGCAGAGCAGTTTTTTATTTTAAAGTCTGGACTGCATGTTGGCAAGCTTATTACTGATCAATTACAACATTTCACCTTCCAGCTCTAATGTCAAGATGAACTCATCTAATAATCTATTAAAATTCTTACCTTAAACATCTGATATGATTCTAACAATACACACAATGTCCAAGTCATGAATGGTTGGACATTTTAAACTGACTGGAAGTGTCCATTGATGTTGGCCGGGTGTGTTTCTCTGTTGGCCTGTGATAGATGGACAGCTTGTCTGCCTCTCATCTAAAGCCAGTGGGATAGACGGGTTCCAGTATTTTGGAATTGGGGTTGTAGATGATGTATACCTGGAAGACACATCCTCTTTGTTTAGGAAGGTAGAATCGAATAGAAATAAAAAATTAACTGCAACATTTCTCTGCAACCAATGCACATGATTCCTTTATAACAGGCCCAAAAAACAAAACACTTCTCACAATTTTGGCTGCTGTTATTGCAAATACTCAGAGACAGTGAAAGGAAAAACATTTTTTAAGGCTCAATACATTGGAAATCTTCCGCTGCTTTTTATCTAGTAAAATATTAACATAGACCATTTTGGTGATGCTTTCTTTGAATGATTTTGAATGACAGTGTACTAACAGGCATTGTATCTGGTTGCAGAGTCAACCAATACTGCGGTTTTTACATTACACTGTTGTCAGCAGCAGTTTCTGTGAAGCAAAGTTCAAGTACATATTTGGGAGCAATTTATCAGCTCTAGCACATCTGTTGTAGAAACTTCTGGAAAGCAATTATTGTTCTACATTCTGTGCAATATATCAAAAATAAGTATCTGTGTCTACACGTGCTGACAACACATTTTTGCCAGCCAGTGTTTTTACTATAAAATAACTGACAACTGATCACAATCTTAAAAAGATTTTCAAATCCTTCAGCCGATTCAATAGGAACAGTCACTTTCTTTGTTTAGTTTACAGGTTAATTGCTGAAGTGAAGACAATAAAGGGCGAGTCGTACCTCGATGACTGTGGCTGCCAGCAGTTTCTGCAATTCTTCAGATACCAGACAACTCAGCTGACATAAAAAAGATGATAAGCATCAGTCAATGAACCGTCACCAACTCAACAGTTCATGAGCTGTTGGCGAATCACGTTTTGTTGAAAATGTGAACACAGAAGACTGACATATGACTTCCCAACCTGTGACTGAGCTATTTACAATGCTTTAAACACTTTCTATGATTAACTGTGGCCTTCAGCTAATAGCATTTATGTTACTCTAAAGTCACAGGCTAGCTGTTTCTAGATAGAAATAAATGGAAAAAAAGATTTTAAAGCCTCAAAGGTAAGCTCAATAGAAATAGTGTTCAATTTAGGTATAAAATTCTATTTAATGTGCTGGAAATGTTTTTTTTTTTTTTTAATGGTAGGAAAGTGGAAACAAATACATAAAAGAAGATTTATAGATTGAATAAATTCAAAAGAAATTGTGCCATCTTAAAGCATTAAAGTTATTAGTATAATTTTAAACAGTTTAATATCTACAAACAATAGATTGCCCAAAAATTCAGAAAGCTTACAGGATCCACAAGTTTGAAAAGGAGCTTACATGCCCTCTGGTGGTGGAGTGGCAGCCGGAGCTACACTTATGTTCAGACATCATCCAATCAGAGTTCTGATTTTAGTGTGGGTACATTTGAATTGCATCAGTTTGCATCATCATTCAAAAGTTTATAGTTCAATACAACATATGTAGTTTATAGAATGATTACTCTCAACCAAATGTGATTAAGTCTTTTAAGTTCTTTCTTCCATCGACATTGCTGAACAGACTCCTTTCCATTGTTCTATGTAATATTTTATTGGGCCTAGCAGAGGGTAGTAAAGCAAGACTGAGGATGTGATGTTCTTTTAGTTGTTTTTTTTTTTAATGGACCCTGTCTCCTCTGGTTAAAGATAAGATGAAGCAGTCAGTGGTTATCAGCAAAGTTCAAGTGAAAACTTTTTTTTTTAATCATTACGGAAATAAAAGGACACTCCACACTGGAAAATATGAACCCTTCTCAAACTTTAAAAACTTGTTACTGCTATCAATTTCACAAATAGTGAATATTTTTCATGAAATACTGACATTTTTTTCTTTAAACATGGTAACTTCATTTTCTGTCAGTAAGTGCCTGGACACTAACTTAAAACTTGGAAACTTGGTGTGAAAGGATGAAAAGCAAACATGACTCAGAAAACAGCTTATATTTTGCCAAATGAACAGCAACAGAAGTGCAGATGCATGTACAGTATTTTGTCCCGGGTCAAAAGCAAAGATAAATCTGATGGGTTTACTGCAACTTGCGGTTCTCCACTATGTCCTGTCACGATTTGGAGACAACAACGAGACAACACTTTGCAAAAAATATAATGAGAAGAATTTAGGTGAACTGAAAGATGTGAGAAGTGCTCAGTTAGTTCCCATCTACAATGGAATGAGGGGGAGGGGGTCTTAAATGTATTAGCGTACAACAATTACAAACCTATTCTTCTCATGTGTATTTAATCTCACTTCTCACTATGGTTCACTGACCTTTGGTTCATCACACATTCGTCATTAAGAAGTCCCTGACTGACCTGTGGAAAACTCCCTACTAACCACTAAGAGTCACAAGCATTCTGTCATTCTCAGGTACCTTTACTGGGAATTTTATACACATATCTAACAGGTTGTCTTGGTACTGGTAAAACACAGATCAAGAAGCTTGAATAAAAACACAACAATTAAAGCAAATGCACACTTTTCAGGTTAACAGAGTAGTAATCCTGAATGAGTACCACTTTGAGCCTGCTCGGCTCTTTAAATAAAGTCAAAATTAGAGGGGAAAATTTACCAACACTAAATAAATAGCTAATTCTAGGAGGCATGGGTCATTAGCCCCGGAGTGACTCTTGTATTTCTTAGACTGACAAGCAACTGCTAGCTGGGCAGATTTTATACTATTACACTAAGTACCTGCAATGCTCACATTAGCCCTTGTAACAACATTCTTAAATAGAGGACCCTCTTTTAGTTTGGTTTGGTTTTCCACATCAGGGATAAAAAAAAAAAAATTAAAAAAAAGAAACTAAACTTTTAAATAATCCTTTAAAATCTATGTACACACACAGAAAGCAAACGTTAAAATGCTAAATGTGAGAATATTCAAAAACAGAACATCCAAAAGCTCAAAGTTTAGAATATTTACATAATTACAACTTTACAAGCAAATACAGTAAAAGAGTTTTTACAATGGCTGCACAGCAGGCAAAAAGAACTGAAACCTGTTGATCAGAGCTAGGGCTGGGCGACATGACAAACAAAGGTTATCTGCAGAATGTCCTCCCTATGTCTGCTTCTCTCCTTTGATCTTTTCTGTCTCATACAGTTTTCAATCAAACTAAATAACTAAAATACTTCTTGTAAAACCTCTGCTCATGTCCATCTTGGGGACTGCAATACATAAATTAATACTGCAGTTTTAGCATCCAAGTGATATAAACCGTATGTCAGATTTGCCGTTTTGTTTGAAAAAAATGTTTGAAATCATCGCCCAGCCCTAATCAGAGCTTAAATGGTTGTATGGAAGGAGCAAAAAAAGAGGACCAGAGTACATCCTCCACAGTACACAGTGGGAAGGTTTCTAGTACATTCAAATGATGCCAGAAGAAGTTCGGCTCGACTGATCGGTCAGTCAACTAACGCAGCCATGACTAAAATAGCTAATGCTTCACTGACCGACACTACAGATGAATGCATCTTTCAAGCAGCTGTATTCAGAGCAATTCATAGTTGTTGTGGAAATCCTGAAAGCTGCATCCTATGTGACGCACAGCTCTCGTCCAGTCAGCCGTGTTGACATTCATCATACTTTTGATAAGAGTAAGAGACCATTTTGCAGCTCAAATGGATAGTTGCCTGAGATTTGGCCGGGCTAAAGGAGTTTGTTTTAAGCATGATTGTCTGCTCGGGCATGAGGTTCAAATGAGGTTTCAAGAGCAGATTTTGGTCGACAGCATAAAGCGGGAAAAGTGTGTTTTGCCCTGGCGCCTTGTCAAACGCACGGTCAGAGCCACCCTGAGCGATCAAGTCCATCTGACAGGAGCTACAGATTCTCCAGTCTAAACCCTGCCCACCCAGGTAGAGCACAGCCTTCTCCATTGATCAATGCCCTAATCCGGATCAATGTGAGTCCAACAATAGTGCAAACACTTCTGCCCTCTTGAAGACACACCGTAATTGTTTGACAGTGAGGCGGACACTGGATGGAGCGCCTTTCCTAGAGCCATTTTCGGAGTGTAGAGAGGTTGTTGTCCATCCAGCGTTTGTTCAGCCTGATGGTTTCAAGTGCTTCCTGCACACTTCTCATTTGAGAGCCACGCCCCTTCAGACCAGAGAAGAAAGCCTGCACCTGCACATGGCACAAAAAAGTTCCTTCATCACAAACAAATACACAGAACCTTAAATATAATGAAGCCATAGGTTATTTGGACTGTTAAAATCCCCCATAACATACTTGATCAAGGTGCGCCTGTGTGGAGAACTGCGAGGTAGCAGATTTGATGATTGTCTGGATTGCAAAAGAGCCCACTCGGAACCTGCAGCCACAGGGCACAAGGGAAAAACCCAGATGTAGCTTTTTTTTTTTGTTCTCTCCTTCGATTTTCAGGTAAATGCATTCTCATAAGCAGATTTTACGGGGCTCATACTTACTTCTCAATGAGGCTGTCCCAGTTCACTTGTATGAAGTCCCATGCAAACAAATGGCCAGCAAAGCCATTACACACAGTGTTGATGACCAAAGGCAACTCCTGCGTCTGGATGACATCCCCATTAAGACCTGCCTTAAGAATCCTGTAAACATTGCATGACTTGTTAACATGCTTTCACTTGGTGTGATGACAGTTCAGTCTAAATCATGACTGTATTTGTATATATGACATTATAACACTAGAGCAAATCAAAAGATGTTAATTTAAACAAATAAAGAACAATCTATACTCTCTATATGTAAAGATTACCTGCCTAATCGTGTGAGCTTCTTATAGATCTCTTTTGTATTGTATAAGTCATATTTACAGTACAATAAAAGACACAAGTTTGAAGGTTATTTAGAAACTGTGTCCTCCCCAGTTTATTTGACCGTTGGATTTACAAAGAGGATTTTTCAGCAGTAACCTGTGACAGTAGCTTAAGCCCTTTTTACCCACAGTGACCACATCCTAGCACGTAAAAGGACATACTCAACCAGCTGTCAACTCTCCCGTTTTGTCACCTAATCGGACTGAGCAGCAGCGGCTTCACTCCAAAATGTACAAATCACAAATTGGTATTGTGGTCAACTCATTGTATGAGAGGTGTGCATCACAGAACCTCCCAATAGTGGCACAGACTGCAGTTTCAGCCTCTATAACCTGTTTTACTTCACCAAAAGGGTGGCCATGTGTAGAAACATTTTTATATATCTGTTTGATAACATCGTACACACTTACCAGACGACACGTCTTGGGTCCTGAGTTGATGCCAGACCCTGAAGGATTTTTCGCTTCTCTGCATCGTTGGTGACTTCTACATACATGGTGAGCAAAGCCTCCCAGTCTTCATCTGACTGAGCAGCCACTGAGAAAACGACTTGCTGCAGATCACCTGGAATCCTAAATAATGTAAAAAAAGTAACGTAAAAGCATTGAAGTTATAGGTGCTTAACTATCATACACACAGGCCAGTGTTGAGTACCTATGAAATCTAATTCTAACACTTGTTTGAGATTTCTTGAAAACAAAATGTATATTTAGGCTTCTCTGGAGGATCCAGACCAGAATATGCTAAATTCATCTCCTTTACTTACTGGAAGGTGCCATTGGATTCAGAATATTGTTTAAAGAGGGCTTTGGCGTGCTGAGTGCAGTTTTCCACTTTTAGATTACAGGCCGTCCCCAGGAGAGCAGAACGCAGCTCCTGTTTGGAAACACTCTCTTCGTCTCCCCATGTTTGTTTTTCCATCAGAGAACCAAAATGCCTCAGAATATAAGCCTGTAGCATTCAGGAAAAAAAGAAAGAAAAAAAAACAGAAACATTAGAATACAGAGTGCCTCATCAGTTCAACCTTGGGGGAAAAAATAAATAAATAAATACAAATTCTTCACAATTTGACCAAGGATGCAGGTTTCACCATGACCGTCAAAGCTTTTTTTTTAATGTTTAGCATCACAGTGATATTAAGTCAGCAATTTGAGCAAACCAAAGCCGTAGCTGATTTATCGAGGACATCGAGGTGCGGGTTGTGCCTGATTAAAATAGCTGTCATGGCTTCCTTAATAACTATCACCCTCTTTATCTGCAGGTGCATTTCAAGGTCCTGGAAAATCAAACTATAACCAACTAGATTACAGGATACAGAATGCATACAGACACAGTTTCAGTTTAGTTCAGTAAATCTAAATACTGTTTATGTTTCATTACTGTGTGTCTGAGCTGGGAGAGAACCTGGAGGAGCTGGATTGATGCAGAGTGACTGATTTACATCTTGTACATGTGTACACATTTTCAGTAACATTCTTTTTTGAGGTGGTTGAGAGAATGTAATGTAATATCCGATATGACTCATTGTGTATGAGTGTTTCTGCAAGTACAGTACCTTCATGCGAGCGACGAGGCCAGACTCCTGTCTTTTATCAAGCAGCCTGTAGATGGAATTGAGCTGCAGCAAAGCCTCTGTCACAGGAGAAGTCTCAGTTTCATTGGTCATATAGTTCAACAGGCTGAGGACCTGACGGAAGGATACACGTCCCAGTCTGTTGACCACAGAAAGAAGGTGAAACAGGAAAGTATCAGAAAAAACTTTCTTGTAATCACTGAATAAGGATTTTATAATGTACATGTTGTCTTCTATACCTGGAGAGCGCAAAAATGTTGTGTATGAGTGAGGCACGGTCCTCATGCGTAAGAACACTGACATTTGTGGACAAAGCCTCGATAAGAGCATGCCAGCCCTCGTCTCCATAGTGGACGATGTAGAAGCCTGTGTTTCTGTAGTTCAACTTGAGCCACTTTACGCTCTCTGGCAGCTTAATGGTGCCTAAAAAGAGCAAACAAACAAACAAACAAACAAGAGAAAATATTTGACATGGCATCTTAGATTTGACGTGAACTCTTTATGTCTTGTATTTTACCTGACTTGGACTTCAGAGTGTACATCTGTCTGCACTCATGGGCCAAACTGCAGCTGTCATTAACGTAGGTCACGGGAATGTTCCACAAACTAAACGGAGCACAAGGCACAGTTAGGTCTGTCCTGTGTTCATATCATCTGTCTGTGTGCTGATGAAACCCACCTAGCGCTACTTGTAGCATTGTCGGATGTGAGCAGGAAGTGCTCCTGTGTGAGGGTCAACTGGTCTCCCTTGCGGCTTACAGTGACCAGTGGGAAGCCTTTCTGTGAAGTCCATGAACTCATCATCTCCGACACATTCTGGTGCTGCGTGGAAACCTCTACCTGTGTACAGGTGGAGAAAAAAATCATTCCTCTGGAGTTCATTCCCATATTCATGCTTTTGCTAAATATTTCAGGGTAATTGTGTGTCCTCTGAAATTTTGCATGTATGAGTGGTAACCAAGTACATTTATAAGAGAAGAATATACTTCATATCAACATCCATAAAAACCAAGATTATTGATGAATTAAAAAACACCAGAACTGAGCTTTCTCCAGGAGAGATTTTCTAAAGTGCTAGCAAACATTGTTACAATCATAAATCAAAACGATCATTTATAAACATAGCTTTTGTTTTAGCAAGCTGATTAACAATTTTAAACAAAATGCCAGATATAGTGAAAATAACACGCTCACAGACCTGTGTGAGGCTGTTCCAGAGGTCATCAGTTTCTGTATTTAAACCACTGAATTGCTTTAGGTACTGAATGATGCCCTTTCTGAACTGCTGGTCCCCCGGCAAGGTAGCATTCAGCATTAAGAGAATAGATGCACCCTAGAAAGCAGACACACAGAGCATATGTGAAAGGACCCAAATCAGAGAATTTCCTACAGCTACGACGGAGTTCGAGGTTCAGAGAGGATGTTTCACTTAGAGAAACACAGAGACGTTGGAAAAACACAACTTATTTGCTTATATAACAAAAGTGTTAAGTAAAGGAGCACCTTTTCATAAGAGACCGAGTCAAACATCTCTTCAACTTGTTCTGGAGTGTCTACTTGTGTGGAAACAGCATGAGAGGAGTTTAGTGCATCTTTGTCCATGGCTCTGAATCTCACCGCCAAGAATAAATTACCCTGCAAAAACACAAACAAGATTTACAGCAAAAGCACACGAATGTACCTGCTCTAAAAACAGAAATGTGCTTTGCGGGTCAGATGATTTAACTTACAATGTCCAGATGGGGCAACACTGTCTGCAGAGACATATATTGCATATATGTGGCAAAGCCTTCATTCAGCCAAAGGTCATTCCACCAGCTCATAGTTACCAGGTTTCCAAACCACTGCAACAACGCACCAAAAAACGATCAGTACCCTGAACACATCATCCGCATGTGCTGATTTTATAAGCATAAAAAAGAAAAACTACCTGATGTGCAAGCTCATGTGCTACGACAGAGGCAACTACTTGTTTTTCCAGAGGGGAGGACTTTTTGCCCACCAGCAGGCTGGTCTCCCGAAAAGTGATGAGTCCCCAGTTCTCCATTGCTCCTGCCAGGAAGTCTGGTATTGCTACTAAGTCTGCCAAAAGAGAAAGGGAGCATTTAGAGTCGTGTCAGAGGGCGAGCAGAAGTACAATCAAATATGTATAAATGACTGTTTAGGAGATTTAGGAGCCATTAGGAGAAAGAAGCACGTATGTGGGTGCTCACCTAGCTTCTTGAGGGGGTAGTTAATATCAAAGAAATTGTTGTAAAACTCCAGCAGTTTGCAGGCAGTTTCCAGAGCATAGTCAGTGTACTCTTTCTTCTCTGGTACTGAGTAGACTGACACCTTAACAAACACACATTTGAATACAAGGTGACTGTAAACACAAAAATCTAAACAGATAATACCAATCTCTCTAAACAAGATACAATTTTAGATGCACAAGAGCCAAACGGGAGCCACACGCATCTACAACAGACCCACCATGGTTTCTGAAACATTTTTGCTGACTGGAGAGAGGTTGGCAACAATGAAGGCCACCAGGTATGTGCTCATGTTGACACTGCTCTTTTCAAACTCATCCTGCACGAGGCCGTTGGGAAGAGGTGTGGATTTGGCCTGAAAAGCATCACATCAGTATGAGATCACTGTCAGCTGACGTAAGAAGTATAAAGGATCCTGGTGAAGTATGAAACAGCAAAAAATATACCAATATGCAGATTGGATATCTCAGTCTAAGAGTCAACTTAAATTAAGCTGAAAATTATTTTAAATAGCATATAAATGAATTGATGTTTTGTCAAGAACAAATAACCACCATATAGAAGAAATCGCTATTTCTACACTACCTGGGGCATGTTGGACAGAGTCATATAGTTTTTTTTCCGGTTGATTTTTATCCAGAAAGTTGCTTTAAAAGACGGCTCATCAAAGCAAGGGAAGGCCTTCCTGGCAGACAGCGGCTCAAACTGAGTGGCTGCTAAGACCCTGTGCCAAGAGACAAGACCAGAGCAAGCTTTAACAACGCAAATATACTGTAATTAAGTTTTCAATTAGCATTATTAAAGCACCACTGAGCCAAGTTCATATCATACAGCACATCATTCACCTGTGCTAGCAGCACAGCAGCTCACTTTACCTTTTGTTTCCATCTTTAGCAATGTATGAGCTGTTGTAGAAACCATCATAGGTGTGAGACAGGTTAGCAGAGTATTCCAGGGTCAGAACACAGTACTGGCCTGCTTTCAGCTCCTCTTTGAACTTGACAGCTATCTGCTGCTTGGGTTTGTACTCCAGAACAGTCACATCCCTCGCCTGTCCGCCACCCAGCTGAAAGATACAACGTGTTTGTGAGCAATTAGAAAAAATGATTTTTTTTGTGCTCATTTGTATACAAACATCTTTCAATCCCACCTGGAAGGTAGCTTTGGTAATGTTGAGATTAGCAGCATGCAGGACGATGACCTTTGAACTGTGAAGAATGGACATGTTGATAACTGTCCTGCCAGTGAAAGTCATGTTATCAAGATCAGGGATTAAGGTCAGCTCATAGCTGTGGGGATGGATGCTGTAAGGCAGTCGAAGTTTTGTCCACGGAAACAGCTCCCCATTTGTGGACACGGGATAGACTTGTTCAAATGGAGTGGTCTTGTTTGGTTTTCGACAACCTGCCTGCAGAAGTAATGAAGTGAGACATAGGAATGAGTGTGAGACAACAGAGAAATAAGGGGAGACTTACTTGACAGACAATCTGGCATAATGAGTAAAAAGAGAGATCTATTTCTCAACACTGTAAAGACTAAAGAATTTAAATATTTTCTTACCTTGGTAAAGGTGCAGCCAGGTAGGAAGTACAGTACCATGGTCATAGAGGCAATTATCACCAGGAGTAACACACATACAACCATGGTACGGGCTGAGGGTCGCGTACAGGACCTGAGACCAAACAGAAAGTAACATTACTACTGTCAACTAGCTAGTAAATATATTTTATCATGGTGCAGCAGTGTTTCAGAATATTCTGGAGGATGGTACTAAGAAAAGAGAACCTTTCACTCTATACAAGGTTGCTGTAAACATGTCTATCTATAGTCTTTGTGGATTATACCCGCATCACGCAGAAGCACTTTAGAGAACTAATTTTGACTGCATGTCACTTTTGATATCCGTCATGTAGAAAAACCCAGCTGAATACAAATGGAAAACCAAGTTAAAATTTTCAGTCTAGGGGATCATTCTTACGGGAATTTCCGTATCGAGAGCCATTTGAAGAGAAAATAAGCAGGGATTTCACAACCAGTGAAACGGGTTTTCACAACCAGTGACAGCTACTGACATGAATCACATCACTACAGTTCCAGTACTACACACAAAGCGTAAGATTTAGACTTCAGAAAAGATTTAACTTGGCCAGAACACTATAGTCACTGATGATGGTTGCATTTTCAGGCACTTAATTTTATAGTTAATCAACACAATAAAATGTCTGTCCAATTATTAATTCAATTATTAAATTATTATTATTAAATCAACAATAGCAATGATAACAAAAATGTTCCAAAAATGGACAATTACAAAACACAGCTGGTAGCAAACTTCACAAATACCACAGTACTTTAATAAACATAGTACTTTAACACTTCGAAGAATAGTTATAATACAATGGTTGAACAGTTTTCATGCCAACACCACTAAACACTGCAAATGATGAGCCTCTTAGCACAATACCTTGGTGGAGCCTGTCTGGCATAAGGGGAAGAGCCGGATCTGAGAGCAGAGCTGCGATTCATGAAGGACATGCCCAAGAGACGAGCCGAAGACTCACAATCCTCCTCGTCGTCATCCATGTCATTTTCTCCCAGACCTCGAACAAGTAACCGGGAACTACGAGGCTCAAACGCCTCCTCATCTGGGTCAAGTGTAGGAAATGCCTAGAAAGAGCATGTTCAGAACCCTGTGTTATTCTCCAGTTGCACTTCACAGTGTTTCCATACAATATTAATGAGACGAGCGACTGCGCAGAAAAATTCATTAATGCTGATTAAGACGACAGTGTAAGATCAAGACTGAGAGGGAATGAAGAGGGAATAATGTAGACTGAGGGATTAATTTAGGGATGCTAAATTTTTTAATGACACTTTATGGCAAACTTCATGAGCAAAAGCTCATTAAAGGCATTCTGAACAGAAGGACATCAACAACACAATGTCTATACCACTTTGATGTCACACTAACAAATTTGCCTGGAGAAATTCATTTAGCTTTGATGATAACTGGATGCAGCTGAGATCTATAAAGTAAAAGATCAATGAAAAACCTTGTGATTTGACAAAGAAGCCACCGGTGATCATCAAAGGCAGAGCCTTAGATGATAAGGACAGCTTATATTACATGGGAATGTATCTCCCCAAGCATATTTAATTCCTGCATGGCCTTAAGCAGGCTGAAACAATCACAGAATTGTGGATTTACTACAGTAACACACCATAGATGCATTACTGTAATTGACTGCATATATCCAATTTCATACTCAGTATTTCAGACTGTGCACGCTTTTAACACCCCGTAAAAATCTAAAAAATAAAAAAAAATAATTTCTGAAATAGAAAGTGCATGCCACTTTAACTGTGGACAACTGAGAAGTGTTACCAACAAGTGTTAGCTATTCTTGAAATGTACTGAGCATATTCATATACGCAGCTGTGTTAATATATATGAAAGTGACATACTGGAAATGCAGCGGAATCTTTGGCTAAATCCACAACATCGGGTTCTTCCTCAAACATGCTGTTCTCAATCATGTTCCTTGGCAGGTTAGCACGATCTGAAAGACACACAGAAGAAATCATCCAGGGAAATAAGCAATGATAAAGAAAAGGGTAAGAGAATACAAGTAATGCTTTTCAGTCTCACTAACTGACCCTCATGTGTGAGCATACTTGCAGTGATTGTCAGACGTTACCTCAAAACAAAGCGTCAAAAAGACACTATTCAACAAAATGGCCTCTTATGGGGACTCAAAGTGGTGGCAACATGAAACTAATTTCAACTAAACATTGACTGTCAGCAATTTCCTGTTAGCACTGAGTTTCTATTTTCCGCCTTAATGGTACTTTGACCTAAATAAAACAGGTTATTCACATTGTTGAGACTGCACAGTACTATTCAGACTAAATCTGAGAGCATTAAAACTAGTGTCAGTCATCTCAACTGTTCATTTCAGTAAGACTTTGTGGCAACACAAAACAAATAACTTAAGAAGTCCCCACAATTTAGAAGTAAAGGAAATGATCTGAATGTTAACTCCTTGGCCTTGTGGCGTGCCGCTGCGGTATACACAAGCTTGCACTTCCTCAAACTAACATGCATGTTCAGCAAGAGAACCAGAAAGAAGCCTTGTTTCACTGCATTCATGTCATTATCTGGCTACAGCCAAATTCTTTGCTCTGTAACTACTAAAACAACAGGGTCATGTTCAGTTTCCTAATTCAATTAATCAAGCAGTAAAATGTTGAGTGCCGAGTGTCCCGTGTTGCCTTCCAATCAATCCATGGATTTACAGATGATGGCTAGTACATTATCAGCTCGGTCATGAATGGATTCAAGAGGGGGAAAAGGGAAGTGAAACTAAACAGTGAAGTCATGCTGCTCACAAAACAAAGATTGGCTTAAAATGTAGAAAACATCAAGTGTCCAAAGAACGAGAGCTGTTTTATGCAACTCCTGTTCTATTCTGTGCAGTGTTTCTGATATGACTGCAACACAGTGACTACTAAACTGCTGTGGTATGAATGCCTATTAATAGATGAAGAGCTAAGTGGTTAGGTACTGTGTAATGCCATGATGAGTTTATGATAAAAATATTACCCATAAAGCCATATTACGTTTCACTGGCTAGCAGTTCTACTTTTGACAGTTTCAGCTTATTGTTAAAACAGTGTAAGACACGTCATACAAATGCTATGACATGTTGGGATGAGAGAGGTGTTTATCAATCCTGTTATGGTAAAGCCAGGCTGACATGCGTTGCAGGTTTACATGTCAATACAGCATCTTATCTGCTGAGTCTCATCTTCCTGTTGACTCAAAACATTTATCATATCTAACTTAGGCTAAAACTAAAGTAGTTAAATAACTGTTTAGTTTAGAAGGTGCATCCATGTATTTACCTCAACTGGGAGCACAAAGAACATGCCCCACTAATGGATGAATACAACTGCCCATGTTCAAAATGTAATAAAAGCAAACATATTTACAGTTCCAAGTTAATGATTTTATATAATGACAAATGCTGACAAGCTTTAATTTAGAAAGTGTTCATACAAAAACAATCATGTTGAAATTGCTCTGCTTTCAAATAAACTGCATTTAGTTGTTTTGCTATTCAGCCTTTTAAATTATGATATGATGTCAAAGAAAACATTTAAGAAAGAAACTACAGGGATAACAACTGGGAAAAGACTCAAATGTAATCTGATTAAAATAACTTACATCCCCCTCTAACTCCTTAGCATAAAAAATAGAGGCAAAGTAAACAAATATTCACATAAAGGCAAATGTTTATGCATTGGTAACTGAGCCAAATGTAATCGTGAAATGACATGTTACAGAAAAAAAAATCACAAAGTCACAACCAAAACCAATTCAAGGGCAAAACAAAAAGGGAAGTAAAAATGCTGTGATTTGGTTGTTCTTAGAACACTTAGTTTGCCTGAGAGCTTTTAAAAGTGTTTACAGTGACTCTTAGTTTGTTTTAATAACGCCTGGGATGCCCAGGGGCCACAGCAGAGGTTTGGAAGCAGCTGACTGCTGGGATCCTGAGCAGAGAATGACTTATCAGCCCCTCAAACCAAGACTAGACTTATCTACTATCAAACTAACAGCTGACTGAACAGGGCTGCTGTGCTAAAATATACATCATCATTCTCAACAGCAAGACAGTATCAACCATTGTATAGTGTGCAATGTGTCAAGACTATCTATACTCTATTCCCTGCCTGTTAGGGCCAAACAAGATCGAAATGGCACGTTGTTAAGAGCAGGATTTGTGCACACACAATTCTGCTCAGCTTTACGAGAAAGAGCCCTGTATACTGTCATCGCAAGACTGCCAACAGTTAGCCTCCAAGACTTGTTCAGCTGTGATAAGACGCTGGTAACATTGAAACAAGAGGGTTGCGTTCACGAGACTTGTGAAAAGACAATTCCACCTTTCTGAAAATGTGTCCTCGAGTGAATGTCACTCCACCGAGCCTGCAACCAGTGTCCTGATAGTTATTAGCTGGCCTGCTGCCGTTAGCTCACTGTTATTGTACCTTCCGTCTTCTGTCCTTACCTGTACTGTTACTGTCAAACAGATCCATGGCAAGCTCTCCCAAAGACCCTCCAGGCGACCAAAAACTGGGTAACTTCTGTACGTTTAAGAGCCTTCGACGGACGTGATGTTTCTTCTGGCTGGCCACAACCCACCGTGGGCGCTCACAGCGAATAGCAGCCTAGCCCCACCGTACCAGCGTTTGCTAACTACGTAGATGCTAGCTAACTCCAGACAATTCAAAGAGACTGAACAACATTCAGTTAGCTAACGTTAGCCGCTTTCTCTTTTCTTTACCCAACTTTATCGCCCATGGCGGAATATTATAACGATACATAAGCATAGGCTACTTATAAAAAAAATAATAAAGCTTACGCTAAAACTGAAACCAGTTTTAAGTTAAAGTGTATACCAAACCAATACAGGAATACATGTCACATTTCCTCCTCACTAAATCAGTTGTTGACAACTTCCCATCAAATCATAGAGCTGATTTTCAATTGGTTATTACATCCAGGGGCGGGGTCAGAGGGCAGCACGGACAGACCTACGCCAACAGACAGATTCCGGCTTATTTAAAGGACTCTGTATTTTTCTCAGTTTATTTCAGTGGTATTGTTACATAGATGTCGTAAACCTTCCCCAATTCCGTTTACAGACTTTACCTTAAACTGTGGCCTGAATTTACGAGTAAATAGCTAATTACAGAATTACAGAAACAAGTTGGGAAATCCCCCTTAATTACACTCATTTCAAACTAGAATTTCATGCCAAAATTTGGAACATTGATATTACCAATACAATACATAGTCCTGAGCTTGTTAAATCAAATACCAGATTGAATAACTAGGATTTATTTTTTTTTATTAACGCAATGTGGTATAACACAATAGTGCCACACGGTTTAAAGGACCTTTTTGTTGTTCATTGAAGTCCATCAATACCCCTTTTGTGTTTCACCTCGGAATGAATCTCTGTTTCACTCATACACTCACACACACACAAACACAAGCACACAAAGACAACACAATGTCCATGGTTCGTGTCCTGTCTATCAGACATGCTGCTGTCACTCAGCTGCCATTTCTACCAATCAAATTGTTTCCCTCAAACCCCCTATATCCCCAGACATTTACAAGTATTCATGTACTGTACAAAACTGTGGTGATGTCAAGCAATACCTTTATCAAAAAAGAGAGCACAAACATAAAATCCCCCCCCCCCCAGTCTATCCTTCTTTTATGATGTCCTGGCCAGCGCTTTCCATTCAATGCTTTTACTTCATCTGTTCATTTAGCCAGTTTCTCAGAGTTTCTAAGTTCCTCCGAACCCAACGGATGTTTTTCTGCACGTTGTCCAGGGCCATCTGTGTGGCTCTCAGCTGCGATGCCTGTTCTTTGATGGACTCAAAAAACAACTGCACCTGAGATTAAAAAGACAAAATAGATTTGGATATCAGAATTGCTGTATAGATTATGGAACTGTTTATTACTAAGGAGTGCAATTACTTCAGTGAGATCATGCTGAGATGAAAACTGGCCAGTGGTCCCAATAATAATGTTTCTGATGCAAAATGAACCCAGCTGAAACCTGCAGGTGAAAAAGATAGAGAGGAAAAAGGAAACTTCAGGGATTTTAATGACCAAAGGGGGTTGATTAACTTCAAATTAAGTGACACTTGACTGCTCTGCTAGGAATTTCACAAAAAATGCTCATTGTAGTTTAGTTTTTTAAAGTTTTTTTTAAATGAGTTTCTACACTAAAGTGAAAATAATTGTGAAAAGCTAAGCTTTTATGCTATCATACCTATACATTTGAAGTATAGGTTGTTCTCTTTGTTTCTCAAGCATTTTATACTCACTTTTGAACCAGGAAGTCCCAATTCTTTTTGACAAAGTTCCAGGCAAGATAATGTCCTCTTGGGTTCCTGGCCACCATCAGGATGAGACTGGACAGATCTTGTGATCTAATCAACTTCCCCTCCAGACCCAGCTCCAGCAGTCTGTAACACAAACACACACAAGGACACAGAGACGGCTGACTTAAATTTGCAGAGATTCTTCACTTGATTTGTTACCGAGCCTTTGTGAAACAAAGCGTAGAGCAGCCGAACCATGATACAATGACCCATGTCTTCCACAAGGTGGTAGCATCCACTACATGGAAAAAAAGAACCAGAGAGAAAGCGTACGCCACCTTTTTAGTTTTTCTGTGTCCCTGCTACTGGTCAAAGCAAACAGGATCTTGTGTTTTTGTGCTTCAGAGAGGGAAGTTTTATATGTGTTTAGGAGTGAAGCCCAGCCGTGGTCATCTCGAGCTCCCACTGTGTACACTGTCTCTGCCACATCAGTAGGTAGACTAAAGAAAATATAAGCAAAGACGTCAAGTTTAGAAACATGATGAAATATTTCGCTTCATGATCCACTGGGGCACTGAATAAGTGATATATATGTAATCATATTTATATTTAAAGAATTTTCTAGGTTTTATATTTGCATTTTTAGACCGACTTAAGTGTTCCATTGGACTGAAGCCAGCCTCTGAAGTGTCGATTTGCTTCCTCCAGACAAGGTGGGTAGTCCAGGTGACAAGCCAGTGACAAGACCTCTGACCTCAAACGTCGGTCTGACACTGAGCCGCTGTCACTCCAGGTCTGATGGTCAATGACAGCACGGAAAAAGTGCAGGATGTACCTCTGAGCAGAAACACACACAGACCCAGCATTTCAAATTGACATAATACATTAACACATTGATAATAGTGAAAAGTCCATGGTTTTGTCCCCTTACTCCCAGGTTCTGTGTTAAACTGAGCTCATCTCTTCTCTCAACGATTTGGTAAAAGACCTCAAGATAGCCAAGTCCTTGAAGGAGGGGCACTGTGTGCTTCTCCATCTGGAGATAGCCAATCAGGTCCAGGGCTTTATTGAGGGGCAGATGGCCCGCCCTTTAGAGAGACAATAGTTATTGGGCCATTTCATGTCTAATCATAACAGATGTTTTTCTTTATACACATAAAAAAATCTTGCACATCCGCAAACGCATACTTACGTGACCAACTGAAATGCATTGTGTATCAAGTGAGTCCTGTCTTTGTAGCTCAGAGCAGTGTGGTTTTCCCTTAATAACTTTGTCATTACATCCCAGCCAGCATCCTCATAATGAACCAAGTAGTAGCCTGTCATGTCAGAGTTAATCTTCACCCAGCTCACTTCGTCTCCCACAACAATGCTATCTAAATAAAAAAGAAGTATTTTAATAACATAGGGTTGTAGAAATGACATACAGCATATTTTCTATCCTCACCTGTGCGCGTCGTCATCAGGTGTCTATGGATGGTGTCCGAAGCATCTGTCTTATATGTTAGAGGTATATGCCAAAGGAAACTTTCAAATAAACAAAAAAATATTAATTTTGAGATGTGAAAACAGCATAAATTTCCACCAACATACTTACTCTTTCTGATACGTTGACCACAGTGGGTCAGAAGGCAGCACAGTCCTCAAAAATCTGTCCTGTCTGAGGAAGAGTCGAGGCCCCTTCCTAGTTGCAGTTACCAGGGGAATACCTTTCTGCAGAGTCCAAGTATTCATCATGGCAGTCAGGTTTAGATGTTCTCCAGCAAACAGGTACTGCAGAAGTCAGCAGACTGAAAATCAATACTCGTGATCACAGTTTAGTGGGATGTATAAAAACAGGGATTTGAAATGGTGTTAAGATGTTTCCTCACTGCGTTCTTGGAGGCCTGGCTGCTGCTGTAACAATGTTTCCCTGAGATGAACTCCTCCTCTGAGCATGTCTGCAAAACAAAACCAGCTTTAACATGTTCTGTGAATAGAATATTAGGTCATAGTCCACTCCTTGAAAAACCTATGTAAAACAGAAATAACTCATTATGCAAAAAAAATGCAAACCCCACCTTTATCATAAAAATAGTGCAAAGCTGGAGTAAAATGTTGAAAGTTGCTTTTAGAAAAGGAGGAAATACTGAGTAATTCAGGTTGATGCTACCAGCACAACATAGGCATTTTTACCACTTAGTTGCATCACCTCTGTCAGAAAACAATAGGTGAAAGAACAGAAGAGGCCTGTCACAGTTCAAAAGCTAAACATTTCCCATTCTTACTCAGCTTTCATCTGCTGAATAATAAAGAGTCTCTTTTAGTGCATAATTCTTTTTGCAAAGAGCTAAATTTACATTTTCAAGATCTTACATGTTTGGGTTTTGCTCATGCTGAAACAGTACTCAGACGCTGTCATTGTGGAGCCATATTGTAATCTGGTATTGTTTTACAAAAAATAACAACATTCTTGGAAGAAAAATCTTGTGTTGAAGGTAGTATATGTTGGCTCAAAAACATAATACTGCATTAGTGATTATCTGCAAGTCCTGTGTACTCTAATGGTGATAACAAGCTGCAATTTCTGCATTTCAAAGCAACCATCAGGCCATAGAAGAGTTTTGCAGTTCTCCTCTCTCTACCTCTGACCCAGTACTGGAGACATGTTTTTAAGAGCGTTATAGTTCCCCTAAATTTTTTGAGATTCTGAAGGTGATCTGTTTTACTTCATAGAACTTGACTTCCCTGTAGTTTAGTGCTGTTCCAAAAGTAACTCTGATAGATTGTGAGCACAGTTTTTTTTAATCAAGGCTATCGAACCCCTTTTTGAATTCTAGAAGGTTAAAAAAGTACACAGTCTCTCACATTGGTCAGACTGTCCCACAGGTCCTGATTGTGAGCGTTTCCATAACTGAACTTTCGCAGATATCGTACTATTCCACTCTGGAACACCTCATCTGTCAGAAAGTGTCGTAGCATGTGTAGTACACATGCTCCCTGGAACAGAAACAGACTTATTTTTTAATGTTATTTAGTCACAATGAATGTGTACAATTGGTTGGGACAACGAGACTGAAGTCATACTTTGTCATATGAGACGGTATCGAACATCTCTTTGATCTGCGTGGGGTTCTCCGCAGGGCAGGATATAGGCCGAGAAGAGTTCAGCGAATCATGACCAATAGCTGCAAAGCATGTGTGGAGTAGGTACTCTTCCTGAAAAAAATATATTCGAACATGATATTGTAACATGAGAAGACTCGTTTCAGCCTTTTGGATTAGTATTAAGTCATAAGAAAGCAATTACAGTACATACCACTTTGAGGTCAAGGTAGGTGGCCTCCACAGAAATGTACTCCATATATCTGGCAAACCCCTCATTCAGCCAGATATCATTCCACCACTCCATTGTCACCAGGTTACCAAACCACTGCAGGTAAGGAGGAAGACTCACTGCTCTGTTTTACAGCTATATATGTCATGCAGTAAAATGTAATGACTTCTAAAAAATAAAAAATGAATCACTGTGCAGACACATGTTCATGCATCCATTCTCACCTGATGGGCAAGCTCATGGCCAATCACCATGGTAACCCAGAGTTTATCAGAAACAGAGGATGTGAGGGGGTCAAAGAGAAGGCTGGTCTCTCTGTAGGTGGTCAGGCCCCAGTTCTCCATCGCACCTGACTGGAAGTCTGGGATGGCTATCAGATCTGGACATGAAATTAAAATCATGAGTCACTTGCATTTAAATGAATGAATACATAAATGAATCAAATTCCTCGCCTTGTTTGGGTAAAGGATAGGGGATGTTAAAATAATCCTCATAGAAGTCCAGCATTTTGACTGCAACCTCCAAGGCATAGTTGGTCTGCTGCCACTTCTCAGGGGAAGCATAAATGGAAACCTTTTGGATTTAGGAACAAACCAGCCCATAAATCAACGCTCATGGTTGAGAAAGCAATAAGTCAAGCATGAGATTCAAATCTGACATATTGTCATGGAGACCACACCTTCACGCCAGATGATGTTGTTGCAGTGACAGACTTGAAGTCGCAAATAACAAATGCCACCAAGTATGTGCTCATCATTACACTCGCAGCAAACTGATCTTCAAGAAGGCCACCATCTATCTCAACTGTCTTGACCTGCAGTGCAAAAGCACACAATTTAAGGCTCCCCAACCCAAACACCCTAATTCAAAAATTTTTATGAACAGTGTTGATGAGAAACACTCACTACAGGCATGTTGGAAAGAGAAATAAACTCTGGACTCCTCCTGACTCGCACGGAGAAATTAGCTTTGAAGTTTGGCTCATCGAAACACGGAAATGCCATTCGAGCACTTGTTGGTTCAAAGTGAGTAGAAGCCAAGGTTCTGAAATTCAAGATAAACACTTACTAATTTGTTGTAAAGTGTATGTGTTGAATGGTTTGCATTGGAAACAGTGCACCCGACCTTACCTGGTCTCGCCTTTACTGGTTCTGTAGGTGCTTTTATAAAAGCCATAGAATCCTTCTACAAGTTCTGCTTCAAACTCAATATACAGGAAATACTTCTGCCCCTTGCTGAGTACCCTTGGAGAGAAAATCCCAATTTGCTCATGGGAAGGGTTATGGAGAACTGGAAGAGCCTAAAACAGGAGGAGATTTATAGCTTTAGTGAATTTAACAAAGAAAAATAACTAATGTTAAATGATGATCAACATAATTTAAAAAACAACCTGATCAGACAGGTGATGGAGTTCCTGGTCTAAAATTGTGGCTTTGGAGATCTGTAAGCCCTTGCTGTGTAATACAACCCAATTTGTGTTGTTCTGGACATCAATCTGGATCTGCACTGAGCCGGTGAAACTTTGAGTTGTGAGGTTGGGATGCACAAAGAGGTGATAGTGAAGAGGAATGATGTATCTGAGAGAGAGAAAAGAAAGTCTAATTTTTCAGAAGTGGGTCAAAAGTCAAATATCCTGCATTTTTTTCCGTCCATCTATTTTAAATCTGTGTCTACTAAAAGCACGTGTGAAGCATACCGTGGCAGGCGAAGACGACTCCAAGGAAAGGACAGATTGTCCTCACCCAAACGAGACTCTCCAGGAGGTTGAGGAGGGCCCGATACCTGTGGTGAACTCTGGGAGTGCTGAGACCCAACCAGAGACACACTAAAAAGCACTAACAGCCTCATCGAGACCATTGCAAAGGAAATGTCCATCAGCAAGTGATTGATAATTTGTGTTGTAGGCGGACAAATGATGCCGAAATCATTTGGTGATGGCCTGAATACAGGGAACAAGCACTGTGTGGTCAACCTGATAGGAATGTGGTATTATATTATGAAAAGCTCCCGGAAGTTCTTCTCTTAAACCTGAAAGACACAAGAAGATGGTTAAAATAAATAGATCCCTTAAAATACAAATACCCCAACTAAAATCTATTCATACAAACACATTATTTACTCAGTGCCAGTGAGGGAGGCATCAGCATGGGATGCAGCAATACTCAGAGAATGTAGATAAAGCTTAAGTATGATACTTTCTTTGTATTTGTCAGTGTGACTCCCTTGCTAAGTGTCTGTTTGGCCTCTAAAGCCTGTGGGATTAACAGCATAGATGTGATGCTTAAAGCATCCAAACATTTGGTAAGGTTGCTTACTCAAACCATGACAGGCTTTTGGCCTTCCTCTGTTCATTGAAACTTTGTGAACCAGACCCCTCCACATTGACTAAAGAACTGAATTACCTCAACTAAATAACCGAAAATAATAAACTCTAGCAGATACAGCATTGCTGGAATGACATAACTTGGCCTAAAAACAGGAATGAGGTAACCTTGAGGTAATACAAGCAAGCCGGTCTCCGTTGAATATTTGTCCACATGTCTCTTCCTGAAGGATACTCAAACAGGTGACACAAAATCATATATCACATGATTTGCCGTGTGTACAGAACAAGAAGAGGACGCTGCTATAACTGTAAGGTGACAACAGCTGCAGTGCAAATCAGGTTGCATGGGCATTAATAATGCAGCACTGTATCATACTGGACAGATAAAAGACGCTGATTATAGCCCTCAGGTTCACAGAAAGCACAGCAGTTCTGAAAGGAAGATTAAAAAATATGCTTTCTGTCTAATAATCTCTGTCTTGTGACCGTCACAGGTCGTGTTTTAAAGAAATCTGAAAATGTTTTACCTCAATGGATTTTAGCTTCATCATGCTCATTTCGTGTTCCTGTGGCAAAGTTTCACTTTCTCTTTTAAGCTTCCACCCACAGTTGGGGAGAAAAGTGTTTGTGTGCGTGCATGCTTGTGTGTGTGTGTGTGTGTGTGTGCGTTTGTGTGGGTGCATGTGTGTGTGCGTGTGTGTGCGTGTGTGTGCGCGTCTGTGTGTGTCTGTGTGTGTGTGTGTATGTGTGTGTGTGTGCAGGTGTTTTCTAATGTTCTGGGTGTGTTGATATGATCTCACCTCAAATTTAACAGCCGTGAGCAGGTGTGTCTCCAGTTGTTAGTTTCTCACTGACTTTCCAGTGTCCACTTTAAAGTCCTGTCCTCACTTTTCTCGTGTCTCTCTAAACGCTGATTAAGCTTTGCATGTCTAAGCACTCACTTTTCCCTCTCCCTCCCTTTCACTATGTCTGTCTGTGTGTTGGGAGGGGGCGAGGGGGTTCCATTGTTAGTATAAGGTCACAACAATGAGACATGTCAATCCCCCATAATGCAATGCTCCCAGAAAAGCCAAATGGCATGCTCTCATTTAATGCACCCATAAACAAGGCACATCCAACGTGCACACACACACCGAGCAGACAGCGATCACAGATCATAACAGCCACAGCAACTAGACGACAGACATGACTGAACCAACCAGGGGTCTCTTTTACCTCCCTATCATATGCCTGTGGACAGGTGAGGGCTTAAAATATGTTATTGTGTGATTCTTGTTTTAAAACAAAAACATTACAGTAAATAAGTGCTATATAAAAGCTAAATTTATGTCAGTATTTTTCATGTTGTTAGAAATTATCAATTCTGCTTTGTGCAAAAGGGGTGGAATTTGTATGTAGTCCATTGCTGATAGTCAAATGTTTTTTACCTAATTTTAAGTACACTTGCAATGTATATCCTTTGGAGATCCTCATAAAAAATAAAGACAGGAAAAGTCTTGGAAATCTTGGCTTATTCTCTTAAACTGTGCTTCTCTCTCTCCCACCTGGGTCAGGCGGGGTGAAGGGGAATGTCCTGGCATCTCTGGCTCCTCCAGTCCATCTTTCAGGAGAAAGGCTTGGCTGGACCTTACTGATTTGTGTAGTGGGTGACTTCAGAAGAGGACACCTGGACATCAGCTGGAGGTCAGCAATGGAGGGCCATATCTCTGTTGCACCATACACAGCTGTCAGCAGGAAGCATCGTGGCCACAACGCCGTCTCCGTTATCACAGTGGCCACCAATAACTGGCCATCGTACAGTTGCTCTGTGGGTCACAGACACAAACTGAAGAAGAAGCGTCACCTCACCTCTTCAGGTATCGCTAGTTACCTTAGTGTATATCAGGGGTTGAGTGAAATTTTCATCACAGCTGTGTGAGTTTTTCAGTACAAAGCCTTTAATTTATACATTTTTTAAATTAATTTGATTTCAGAGGATGAAGAAAAGAGTCTCTGTGAAGAGGAAGATGTGACAGGTAAAAGTTTGCTTTTGACAAACTGTTAAAGAAAAAATTCCTGGGGGTTGTGAAGATAATTTTCGGTCTCTTTTATTTGATCCTCAGATTTAGCTTTGTGGACAAGTGCAGTGGTCGTTCTGGTTTTGAGGCTGATTCTAATGAAGATCCTGGTCTTTAACACTCTTATGACGATTTATCTTGTCATTAAGTGGTAAGTCCAACATTTTACCATTACCACATAAAAACGTTTTCATTGTGGAACCTTACTATATTTCTTTTTTTTATTTCTGCTTTTTCTTTTTTAATCAACTAGCTCCGTTTTCATATTTCAACAGATCACTTTCCAATAAAAGAAGGCACCAATGTGCTAGTGAGAAATAAATATGAAACAGAACATGTCATGCTTCAATTATCTTTGTCTTTGGACAAGGTTCAGCAGCACCATTATTCACTTTGTTGAGTGTGTGTGGTATTTATTTATCAAAGAATCACACTTTTAAAATAATTTGTCAAACATCATGCTGTACTGGTGATAATGAAACAGGACTAGCTCTGTTATAGAGGACTCTTAGAAGTCATAATGAAGCCAAGTTCAATCTGTTTTTCCTTTGTTTCTTTAGTGGAAGTTTGAAATTGTTAGGCTTGATGGGTTGAATCTTAAGAGAATATTATATTTTTCAGATCAATGGAGATGAAGAGCCTCAGAAGCACAATGTGACGTTGAAAAGAAAACCCAGCAAGATGAACTTTTTCTTCAGAACTGTGCACAGTGGGGGGGATCTCACACAAGAATATGAGGATTATGATCCTGCCTTTGTGTAGTCTTACAATTACAGAGAGTAACATGAAAAGGTACACGAACTTAATGGGAATAAGCCATTATCAGGGTCATAAGACGTGGCTGCTACATGTTGGTAGTCTTGACTTTTTCAGTCTTTTCAGTGACATACCAGGTGTGGCTGACGGTGGCAGTTGAAAACAGACTTGTCTTTGTGGGGCCAGACCTGGTATCTGATCGAAACCTAACCTCAGACAGGTGGTTTAATGCTCCCAGTTCATGTGTATGTGCTTGAGTTAGAAAATGTGTGTGAAGCTACACTCGCATGAAATAAAGAAGAAATAGAAAGAAAGAAAGAAAGAAATAGAGCTTTTTTTCATAAAATGGAAAATTCTAATTAATGTAATTTAAAAAAAAGTTAAGCTTGAACCTTTTTAACTTTATTATTTTAAAATAAAACACTGGCACACAGTTTTTTCCTCCAACTTTTTTTAGCACACACTGACATAGCAAGGAAGCACCACTAAGTGGCAGTACAATCACATCTGACATTTCTTTAAATTATTATCCAACAGCAAGAATATGGAGCTTAACTTCCTCTACTTGACTCTACTTTCATAAATAAGTTAAAAGTTTAAAACATTAACCAGGCTCTCCTCACCAAACCAACACTCACACATGATCTGAAAGATCACAATGTCAAAAACTGAGATTAATCAACTGGGTGCAATTATACAGAATGTAACTTTAGAGATGGTTGAATTTCTGCCTGCCTTCAAATCTACATTACAGTGCTTCAACACATACAGGAGCACAGTGTAATGACATTCCCTAGGTGATTTATAGCATTTTCATTTGCTATATTCCACTTGTGTTTCAATAAGAATATTTTTATCAATTTTAGCTGAGGAAAAACAATTGTCTACAGCGAACAGGTTTGTTTAAAAAAAATATAGGAAAAAGGGTGCTGGTTTGGTAGCAAGTTCTGAATTCTTTGTGCTTTAAAAAAAAAACACGTACATTATCCATCTTTGGCTCAAATCATATCAACAAAATATCTGGTGAGTAAAAAACACGAGCCTGTATAGACACAGAGATTTGGCAAAAAGGTGGAAAATCCCCTTAATGTGACTCATGAAAATAAGCCACACTTATCAACCTAGAAAAGACTAATTATGCATCCAAACACCCACAAACATACACACGCACACACAATTAGCTGAAATGATAACGAAACAAAACAGTATTGATGGAACAACTTGCTGCTATCTGCAATTTGCTACAACAACATACCCAATACATTCAACAGAAAAGCTCACATTGAGAAAAGCTGACTGAAGTCAGCTGCTGGAAGAATGAGGCATTTTAACAAAAAGGCATTCAATGAACTTCTAGAAAGACAGGACCAAAACCAAATAATACATTGGGTTTTGATGGGGAACAGCAAGTAAAAAGTTGAAACACTGACTTGAATTTGTGAAAAAATCAAAATAAAGTGCTTTTGTTAAAACAAACATCCTCTGTCTGAGGTATAAAAACAAAGTTACATCAAATGGCATACAAAACAAACTACACCATTACACTGTGCGCTGAAGAAAATAAAAGAACTATTTACAGTTGATTCACCCAAAGTTTTGTGTCATTGTCAATTGCGTTCTATGATTCTGCCAGTCTGTTCAGTACCCACTAAGGGGCTTGTTCTAAAAAGAAAAAAAAAAAAACAACACTTCCAGTTCCTAGCAACTGTCCAGCCTGCCGTTTCCTCTCTGCAAGAGTGAGGCATTAGTGCTCAGTATCAGTGTTCAGCGAAAAAACTCCCCAAACTCTCCCTAGTGCACAGACATCCACAAGCCTACATGCATGCAGGCACACACAAAGACTGATGTCCTTACATCAAAACAAGGCTCAGAGCACACAGCGAGAGCACAGCGAGCTGTCTGGTGGACTGGGAGTCGGAGCGGATGTTGGAGGGGGCGGAGCCGCGGGGGTAGATCCTCCATCTCTCACGGTGCGGATGGAGACTCTCCAGATCTTTCTGGGCACTGTACGCCGCCACCGTGAAGTTGGCGTCGCCAGTGGTGAGCAGATCGAACACGCAGGAGTGGAAGTAGATGTCCAGCACGTCCAGCTGCTCCCTGCAGCGCTCCTTCGCCCCTTCCACGCCGATTAGGTGCGCCCCGGCCCCGTAGGGGAAGGCCTGCGTCTGTGAGGCGTAGCCGGGCCGGCGCAGCTGCTGCAGCTGCAGGCCGAGCGCCGGGGGGGAGAGGGGCAGCGGGAGGTGCCCCGCCTGGTCGATGCGCTCGCTGCTGGGGCAGCCGTTCAGGCAGAGCTGCAGGTCCTGGGTGGCGTCGTAGGCCTGCGCCAGGTCTTCGGGGATCCGCACCGCCAGCGTCAGGTAGCGGCCCAGCTGGCGAACGATCACAGTCACGCCGATGTAGCCGGCGTGCAGCTCCACGTGGTGCCCGGGGCTGCGCTCAGATATCCACAGAGCCCGCACCTTCCCGGTCGCCCCGTCCGCACCTACAGAGGCGTGGATGGGGTCTCCGCTGCTCACAGTTCCATCATCAAAGGCAGCGGGAAGGTTGTCTGTGACGGCCTGGTACACCCTCTGGTCTGTGCAACCCTCGTAAGGCTTGAAGATTATTGTTATCTACAAAGCAAGACAAAGAGTGAGTCAATCCTGTCAATGTTTTGCCAAATGCTTGGGCCGTGAAATGAAAAAATATGTTCTAGATCATATCAGATTTAGATTACTCATTGATCAATGAACTGGATGAAAATCTAAAGGTAGGAAGGGCAGGATAAAGTTAAGCACAAACCCACAGGAACATCCACCAAAATGCACGTTAATGACGCCACATAAAATTAGAAAAATTACCTAACTACTTTTCGAAAAGATGTAATTTGACAAATAGCTATGCAAACATATTGACAAATGCACGCACACTGAGAAGCATACACACTCCTTTGGTGTGTGGAAGCAGTGGTGGCTGCAGGGTGTGGTGTGAGCATTACGGTTAGCACTAGCATCATAGTTCCGGTGAATGGCTGCTTTGTTCACATGACAGCCGTGAGGAATGAGGCCTGGCAGCCCATTAAGCCAGGAGGGCTGTTAACGTGGGCGCATATAAGAGGCTGTGTGTGTGTGTGTGCGTGTCTGTGTGTGTGTGGAAATGTGTCCCTAATAGTTGTGACTAATAACTTACTCCACCTCTGACACAAGGTCAGACCTTGCGCTCTAGTGTAGAAAATCTACTATTTGCTCTCAGTGTGTGAGTCCATGTCCATGTGTAAGATTAAGTGTATGCATGGGTGTGTATGTATTTTGAATAATTAAAGCTATTGACTGAGCTAGAGAGGGCAGATCATCAGGGGAAACATCAACATCGTTTCTTTAACACCACAAAGATCACCTTGTGCAGCTCATCATCCATTTAGTGTTGTGCATATATGTGTATGAGTATCTTTCTTGTTGCACAGGGACCTTTTAACACACATAGTGCTTTAAGCTGAGTGCAAGGAGTGCCACTTATGAGGCGCGCGTGCACACGCAGATGCTTGCAAATGCACTCGTAAGTAAACAGTGGCTCCTTTCACACATCTCATTCAACGTTATTAGCGGTCAGGCTATACGCAGTCATTAACCAAGTTAGGTTTGCAACACTACTGCAGTCACAAGAGACAGTCACAAGATCCAGGCTGCCTGCCTCACACCTGTGAGTCTGTGGGAGAGGGTGACACAAAGTGCGGCAGAAAGAGAGCGCAAAGTAGAGTAAAGGGTGTTTTCCACTTTCACACTGATAAGATTTCCTTCAATGTGGCACAGCAAAGCAACTTAGAGGTCATTACGAGACACACACACAGAAACAAACCAAATTACATCAGCTGCTCTCACTTATGAAGCTCTTTCAGCCTTAATAACCTTAATAATAGCCCCTTTTTTTACGCCTCTTTGACAGTTCTCACCTTATTGGTTGCTGTGGCACTGGAGCCAGGAACCACAGGGACATTAGTGACCTGCACCGACAGATAGTCATTATCAATCAGAGGCCACGCCCCCTCCACCTTACACGTCTGGAAGCTGTCTTTAAATGTCCTCAAGTGCGGGTCGCCGAAAAGCCCACAGAACAGGTACCCAGGACGAGGGTGGCCATGGCCGTGGCTGTGAGAGTGCAGGTGTGTGTGCACGTGGGAATGCGAGTGCGCATGCTGAGTGCGGCTGTGGTAGTTGCAGGGTTCATGATGGACCTCCGGGTGTGTGGAGGGAGTGGGCCCATCTCTGGAGCAGTTCCTCTGGCTCATGAGGTCCGAGATGCCCAGCACGGCTGAGTGGAAAACCAGGTTTCCCCGGCAGGACTTGGCTGTCCTCTGGGTACAGGCCGAGTACGCCCGTAAAGCCTTGCAAAATTCGATGTGAAAGCCATCCACAGCAGGCGTCAGATGGGAGGTTAGGGAGACGAAGTCGGTGGTGCACTTCTGGATGCGACACTGAGGGGTTGCCACCTGGCCCTTTCCTAAAGGAGACACATGGATAGAATTAGAAAAAAGGAGTACAGTGATGATCAAAACACAAGTAGACCTAGCAGTGGATGTCAGGCAGTTTAGTTTTGAACTAGAGCAAACTGGATCTTACTGGAAATGGAAAGTTTGTGTATTCACATGAGACAGGTAAAGTTACTGTGTACAAAAAGGCTTTGATCTTAAACACAGAGAGGTACCTGCCTGTTACAATCCAACATAATAAAAGCTAGAAAAAGAACCCAGCTGCTGATTGAAAGTCCTGATCAATCAGCAGTGCCGCTTTGTGAGTGTAATAAACCTGAAGGGTAATAAACCAAAGAACAGCCAGACAGGAAAGATGAAGCAAGTTTTCCCACAAGGAGTGAGATAATACTACTTGTCCAGCCAAGAAGCACATAAAACACAGAGTACTATAGGGAGTGGGAGAAAAGGGATGCAGGTGTGCTGTGCATGCAAATCTATTACCATGATTTAGTAAGCTTATCCTCTTTATAGCGGAAGGTTAGTAAGGTACTGTTTGAAATCCTGAGCGTCAGCAGAGGAAACAAATTATCACAAATTCACCATAAACCCGTCTGAAACAGGTTTCTCAGTCTGAAATGGTCCATGATCTTTTATCTGTTTCTACAATTCTGGACGGAGTAAGGGTCAAACCGGCCTTTTTGTATCACTGATCATCAGGGAGAAAGAGGGAGTTAGAGCCAGAAAGAGATTAGAGACCAGACCTAATGCATCAGTCACAGCGTGCTCCTATTAGATTAGGCCAGAAAGAGATTCTCTGCAGAGTGTGGGCAGCTGCACACAAACACCCACACACACACACACACAGAAGGAGCGACCCGAAAAAGAACATTGCTTATGCTTCCATTAAACGCAGAGTCTGTGATCTTCAGATGGTGTCCTAATGGCCTAGGAAAAGCTGAGAGGACGGAGTTCTTTCCTTACTGAAATCCACTGATTCTTCCACTGTCGCACCAACACTGAAGCTACTGCTAACAAAAAAAACACAAAAGCCACCAGCTAAGGGGCACATTCAATCCATTCTTTGTGGGCTCCCTGAAGGAGTTGGTTGCCACCATTTGGGGGCAGTAAAGCTCTGAGTTTTAGAAGTCAGGGTTCAGGTACAGACCCCCCACTCACACCGTGCATCAGAATCTCTCTCCTGCCTGTTAAATACTGACACCAACCCACAGATACGCACACATACGCACACACACACACACAGGCTGAGTGCCACACCAGCCACCACTGCGCAGACTGTCTGAGCACTGAGGAAACATTGTGTCTTTTGAACGGCGCACCGAAATGCCTCCTTCTTACCCCTCCGATCTGGCCCGCCGCACCTAAATACTCCTCCCAATCTAATCAGCGTGAGTTTATTTTCTTTCATAAGGTATCAGGATCATGAGCTGCTCTTAAAACACTAAAGCTCCTATTCAAGAGCATTCCCCCGGCAGAGCAACACACAGCTAGCAGGGAGCTGACCCCGTTACGGAGAGACACAGGCTCATACCTCTGACTTGTTAAGGTGAAAACTTTGCTGATGATGAGCCTCTGTGAGCGTTAACACCGGATCCCATTGTGTGGCACAGCTAACCTTACACTCAAGCCTTCCTGTGAGTGGAGTGCATCAGGCAAAGACCGAATTTCCATGCAGTGATTAATCAAATTCCGATCATTAGATGCTCAATATTTTATTAATCACACTTTTATTACTCTATAGCTAAAGCAAAAAAGGGATTTCTGTGATCTTTTTAAGTATTCATAGCTGCAATTTCAGAGGAAAATCCACTCTATGCATGAAAATAAATCAAACTGAGGCGATGAATACTGAATGGACTTGGAAAATATTAGGAGGAGAATAAAAGAACTCCTTGTGTGAGGAAGCAATTTGTTCAACACATCCAAAGCTTTGTTTCCATTATCCCGGGTGGTGAGGCTGTGATGGAGACACAATAGGAGCGAACACAACAGACAACATTTGTTTGAATATCCTGTATCATCATTTCTTTTTACACCATCCTCCTCTTACATCTTTGTCATCCTGTTCATCATTTTTATCTCCCTTCATCATTTGCTGTCTTTTTCTTTATGGATGAAGTCACTTGCCCCTGGCTTTTTTTCAGCCTTCAGCCCTCTCAGCCTGGTTCCCCGGCCAGTCCCTCCTCCTTCACCTCATCACCTTTCCCCCTCTCGTCCCGCATCCCGAAGCACCTTTTTCTACCAACTGACAGAGGTCAAAGATCCACCAGGCTTGGGTTTGAGCGTTTCTTTGTCTTCCAATCTGGCTTCCCCCAACTTCTCTGATCTTCAAACATCAGAGAGGGATCTTCTGGGATCAACTCTCAGCTGAGGGAATGGTTCGTGAAGTGCTTATTGATCACCTTGTTTGGTGCACTCTCTCCCATTCTGAGCTCAAATCACACAAACAGCCCTTTAGGCATAGAGATGCAGAGCTCTGCCGGAGCTCACCACCGCATGCGCCGGACTAAACAATGGTTTCCCAAAGCAGACACTCCTGGCCGACCAGGTACGTGGAGTCGGCAGCTGATGAAATGCCTAAATACTTTGTGCATGTATTAGCAAAGAAAAGACGTGGTTTGCCTCACCAGCCTGAACGATACAAATTCTTTCCAGGTGACGCAACTGTAGCAGAAGGTGCCGCAAGGGCCTTTATGTGAAGCGGGTATGTCTGTTCACACCGGGCTGCGCGCAGGGGTGGTTTTGTCCGGCCGCCGTAGCCGTGTTAAACTAATTACTGGAGGTGTGACTGCCAAACAGACAGCCGCCACCACAGCTGACCCCCTGCACTCACAGAAACACAGCAGCAGCCAAAAAAACAATTGCTTTTTCCGGAAAGCTGTTTTTGTTTTTCAGGAATAATGGCTCAAAAATCTGAGCTTGAACACAACATGAAATGATCAGCAAACAAAGTTTCAAATAAGAGTGCAGCGAATCAATACGTCCAGGCAGTCAGTATTAGATTTAGTCAATAAGCTTTTCTAACATTTGCCTTTTTGATAAATAAAGCATGTCTGAAGCATTAATCTCTAACAATAATGGCTTCTGTTGCTCATCACTAAAAGACATGCATCCAATGTAATAATGAGAAAACTGTCAGACTTTCAAGGACGCTTTAACCTGCTTCATTATATGATGAGACCATCTAGTAGTTTTTTTGCATAACACACTTCTGTTGCATTTTGATCAGAGCACATTGGGATTTGATACCACACAGTATTTATTTTCTTTCAGAAAAACTGGAAAAGCTGCTTTATATTAATTTGTTCGGTATAGATCTGCAGTATATGGTCAGGAGAGTTATTCTCTTCCATTCTCTTCCCCTCCTCCATGAACCATTAAGGGGCAGACAGGAGAATGACGGCCCAGGAGAGAGGAGGAGAAACTCGATCCGTGCTCAGACTACTGCACTGCCGCTTTGTCAGCCAGCGCCGGGCCCGGCTCAAGCATCGGACACACGATGGTTACAAACACTTCTCGATTAGGAACCCAGCTATTTTCTGCCCTCTCCAAACTGCAGCAGACTGGAAAAAGAAAGTGTTGCAAACCTAGACTTGAAGCCGGTGCGGGGCGAACGGCAGTGCGCGCAAAACAAAAACAACAAAAACTCCCTGAAACTGGAACCTGCTTGTCGCAGCATTGACAGGGGGGGGGGGAGACGCGTTAGTTGTTGTTTGTGCCGGAGAAAGTGTGCGAGTTAGTTACCTATGTGAGCACCGAGGCAGAGCACGATGATCAGCAGCGGCAGCGGCCGGAAGCGGCGCGCCGCGGCCGGGGAAGCGAGGCGCTCAGCCCCGGGGCGACAGCATCCGGCTCTCCCCATCCCCGTCCATGCAGGGCCAGGAGGGGAGAGTGGTCAAGACCTCCGAGGAGCGAGGCGGGGTGGTGTCCAGGCCTTCTCACTTCTCCCTCTGCCTCTTCCTCCTCACTCTTCTCTCCTTCCTCGCCTCCTTGTGTGCGCAGGGGCATGAAAACACAGCTGCTCCACGGAATGCAGGGCGGAGGGGGGCAGAGAGAAGGGAAAGCAAAGTACGATCAGAAGTCACTTCGACCCCTACTTTTACTTTTTTTTTTTCCCCCGTCCACACACCATGTGATTTCAATGAGCTTTCCAGCTGCTTTTGGTTGGGATCTCTCTCCTCTCGCGTCCTACGCGCACAATCACATCCCTCCCGCACCGAGCCGGGATTTCTCCTCCACTCCTCCCATTTCACTTTCTCCTCCTCCTCCTCCTCCTACTCCTCTGCCCCCTCCAGCAAATCAATAGAGAATCAACCGAACCCTGCCGGCGGAAACCCGCCCACCACAAGACGGAGAAACAGTACCACATATCGCCGGGACACCGAGGAATCCGAAAAGTTATTAAACTGAAAGATGCCGTGATGGTCGGGTGTTATTTGCCAAAGGCAGCGCTGATCAAAAGAGATAAATAGTATTTTCCTGTAACCCATGGGATATGGGCCATTGATAAATTAGATCATTGCAGCTATCTGAGAAAGTGGGCCCATGGCCCTAAATAACCCTGTAAGGTCTGACGTAAGGAAAAATGGGTAGAAATGATAACTTTCTTATCTGAACTCTAAGGTCTTTGTTTGTCTATTCAAGTAAACGTAACACTAATAAATAAACATGTATCACTTAGATGTGTTGAGTTTAATAAACATTTTCAGCACACTTTTCTAACTAAAATGTCAAACAGGAGATGTTTCATCATATTGTCTTGTAACCTTTTAAAGACATGCCACATGCTGCATTAAAGAAGTAGACAGAAAGCAAACTGGCGATGACAATGTGAGTTCATTATAGATGTATGTTATAACCGATAGGTCACCTATCACTTCTTGTATTGTAAAAAGCAGCACTTTTTATTTAAAAAATCCTAAAATAGATTTTAGTGTGACCAAAAAAACAACAGTTAATGCTTCAAATCACTCTTTCATAAAGTATTCTTTGCCCTTTCCATATTTGGAGCATACGATATCACTGAAACTGAGATATTGACACATTCAGATAATAATTTCCCTCATCTTAATATGCTTTTAATAATAAATGAGGACACAGTGATTTGTTTTAATGTGGGATGAATCCCTAGTTCTATCTGATACTATATTCATTTGCTGTATTATTTCCTTGATTCATTTGATCCAGTGGCCAACAGAGATATATGATTGAGGGGCACATTTTTAATTTGTTGGGATTCGCCTTCAAGAGGAGAAACCCATTTAGATTTTTTTGTTTGATTTTCTTTGATGAAAAATTATGGGGATGAAACGTTTGCTTCGTGACTTCAGTCTAAATTATCATGTTGCAGAGGAAACATTTACGCTTATTCAACTGCTGTTTACTGATTTATTAATGTTATTTTTTTAATCACAGTATTTTTCATCAAAGCAAAAAAGGAAAGATAAACTGACCATCACAGATGAGCACATGAGGAAAGGAGCTCAGACAGAGAGCAAACAGTTAACTGTGAAACAGTCGTAAGTCTTTGCAGTCAAATGAAAAGAAGTGCCAAAAGTACAAGGTGAGCACACAGAGTAAACACCGTCTATAGTGATAATGACAAACACTGAATATGTAAAGTGGCCTATGATCTTTCTACCTACAACTATAATCCATGAATGAATAACTTCAGGAAGGATTTTATATGTTTTTATTGCAGAGGTTTGAGTCGGAGCCAAACTTGCTTTGTCTAATAAAGGTTATAAATTGGGACAGATTTCAGAGCAAGCACCAAACCATAAACAGTTGTAGATAATATTTTACTCACTGTAAAATGCTCATATCTACACGGTGTCTGTTCAGTGTTGGTGATAAATTTTCAAGATTATTTCCTTTAATCCTCTGCTACCAACTGCTTCTTGCCAAACTGTCTCACTCTGGCTCAACTTGTTTATGTGTTAAGTGTGAGAATGTAAGTGTGTGTGTGTGTGAGAGAGAGACAGAGAGAGACAGAGAGAGACAGAGAGAGAGAGAGAGAGAGAGAGACAGATAGAGAGAGAGACAGTGTCTCCATAACAGTGGTGTTGTGCTGACAGTTAATATTCTTTCATGTGAGTCATCATCGGGTAGTTTCACTCTGGTTTCAGTATGTACATTCAATTCATATTTGGCCATAAGACTCGTCTAGTCATGGCTGCCAGTTCCATCCTGACTGTGTCAATAAAATAAACACCGACAGTCACTGTAAAGCTCATGAAGATCTTTTTGTAAATGTGGCCAGAGGAGATGATGTGTCCAAATAAAGCAGGCTGGCATATTAGATTATATTAGCTTCCTGTTTGTACCAAAAGTCTCTGATCTCACCAGTGAAGACGCCAGAATACGTGTTTGTGTGTGTGTCCATGTGTGGATAAATTGTATTGTTGATGCATATGTTTTTTCTATCGGGTACATAATGTACTTTTTCCAGAGGTGCTTTCAAAGCATTCCTGGGATTAGTCAGGGTATGTGTGACAAATGCTGAGTGGCCACAAAACCCTTTACAAAAATAATGGAACACAATGTGTAAAATCAAAACAAAGGTACGGGACTTTCACACATTTAAACCCCTAATTTTATTGTAAGTATTTATAGGACTTGAAATTTCCCCGTTACTCTAATGTGAGTTCTTGGTGAACCAGATATAGGGGTAAAATAAGGTGATGTGATAGCTGGTGGATGAGCAGTTTCAGTAGGAGGTTGCAGATTCTTCTGATGAGGCTCCTGCAAGTGAACATGCGGAGGAGGTGTGACAAAAGTCTGCCTGAAGGGAAAATGACAGATCGGGGAAAAAAGTCACTGTATTTTATAGCAAGGCAGAGGAGAATACCCTTAATGTGGGTTAGGAACAACTTTTTGATAATACGATGAGTCTGAGCATGACAGTGTGTATATTTTTTTATCTCTTTGAAGCATGGATTCTTAACCATGTAAGTTAATTTGTTGCTGTCACATAAATTAGTCTTCTCTGTAGGTGATATATTTTGGAGCTTATTAAGAACGCATCAGAGATTCAAGGAGATCAAATTGATATTGATAAATATTTATTTTGGAACAATTGTATTTGTCGTAGCAGTAGAGAAAAACTAGTTTTAGGCCTCCTATGGTCTGGTCCCTGCAAAGCAAATTGATGCTGTTAAACAATGATTTGGAACCCAGCTGAACATCCGGGATGCCAAATATTAGGACAGGAATTAGGCAAGCTGTGTTCTATCAGTTCAGCGGCCTCTCTCACCAGCTTGTCACCCTGCAGTGCACACCCCTGTAGGACCAAGCACACACAGGTGAGCGTTTCATTCTCTCTAACCGACTGAACACAGACTGGCTAATTCAATTACACGCATGCATATGGAGCTATTCATCAGGACTAATTTCAAATTTTATTCTAATCACACATCTGCCAATAGACACACACGTAGACACACGAGCAGACACCTTGATAACGCATGACTCTGTTCATAGGGATTAATGTTATATTTCATACTCATTCATTTAATCACTTGCACAGCAGCTGAGACCTGCGAGGAGCGGAAAGTCACACACTATCACCGCAGAGCTGCTGTGCCTGGTTACACATGCATTCACACACTCGCCTCTGGCAACAAAGACCGTCTGTTTCTGTACGGCGAGCTTGTCTTCACCTCCACACCTCTGCGTCCCTTCTCCACTTCTACCTCTCTCCACCTCACCCCACCCTCACTCCAAACAGGCCATCATTCAACAGCTCACACAAGTTCACAATGCACCTGTGTGTACAAGTGTGTGTTTGTGCGTGGCAGAGAGCAAGTGTGGCGAACTCGCATTGTTGCAAACACATCGAAGGTCGTGTTTGGACAAGGTGAAGTGATGCATTCTTTCAGGGTCAAGATGCACAAGTACACAAACTTTACAAAGCAAGATTAATTGCTGTGGAATGTTTGGTTCAATGTGAAACTCTTCCATTGAAGAGATAGTAAAAAATGTATTGAAATCAGTAATCTATTCGTAAACTATGATACAACATAAGTGAACAACATTACAGATGTGCACACAGCAGGAGGTGGTGTTCTCTGCCAAGTCAAGGTTCACTTATCTAAAGCCAATTAACTGCCTTTTTGGAAAATAACTTGAATGAATTCCAGGTTTTTAATGAGAAGCATCAACCATGAAATAAAATACAGAGTTGATAAATATCTTAATGTATTCCAATAAGAAAATTAAATGCTACATTTAGGTCTGGACTATAGTACTCCAAATATATTATTACTTAACTGCCTCTATCACCACTTTGCAACTCACCACATATTTGGTATTCTGAGTTTATCCCATTCATTCTCAACATATACACATTTACACACACACTACGCACGCACACACACACACACACACACACATACACACATAAACTCCTGACTCATAAAGGTAAATGGCTACTGCAGGTGTGTGCATTTGTGTTCCTGATGTGACGTGATAACATAGCAGATAAAATCCAGGTATCAAAGCCTCTTGTAATGTGAGAGGAAACCGTAGCCTTTAATAGCCTGTTTGATAGCTCACTGTTTCTCTCTCCGGCCAAGTCCATGCAGTGTTTTACCTGAGCTGGTCTTATCAGACCATCCTGTGTCTGCTGGTTTGCTGCTGTGATACTGAGAGAAGAGGGAGACTGATGCTGGTTTCAGATGCCACAGAGAAGGAAGGAAGAGTATGTCTTTAAAATGCACAGTCGGAATATAGCATCATCAGACAACTCAGATCAGTGGAAGAGGATTCCTTTAATGCAGGTCATCACATTGATCTTTCTACCCTCCTTACAATCAAGCCAGTCTCTTTTTTTCTAACAAATCAGTTGATGTCCACTGATTG